ACGGTATGTTTACTTTGAAGTTTATTCATTGCCGCAATAAAATTAACATTGGTAACATGATCAAGTGTTTACCTTTACCATTAAAGAAATAACAAAACAAATATTACGTATATGATAAATATACAATTAAAACCTCAGTCTTATTCAACTAATAATACTTTTTCTTATTTGACTTAAATATTTTATGTTTGTTACATATCTACTTCAAATATGGCTTTTAAGGAAGATTTTGAACCAACAAATCCCTCTTCTTTTCCAACTTATTCAATGGATGGTGTCACAGCTTATAGTCCCTCACAATAAGTTACCAGACCAGTTTCTTTTTTAATTCATAAAAATCATAAAAATCAAATTAATTCCCTTTTCTCCTTCAGAAAATTAAAATAATTGAATTGAAATGTTCTCCTACTAGAATTCATACCACAAACGATTGCTACAACGTCTAGGTTACTGAATTGTATCTGTAAGGGCAAACATCATTGTTATAAATAGACATATTTGAAGAAAAAAAATACTGTTCTTATATATTGTACTCTTACTTGTGTTCCTTAAATTTGTTTAATATTACAGGTTGAGTAAACATTTCAGGTCACCCTATGAAAGAGTTGGATTACAATAATAGTAGCACATATAAATGTATGCACATCAATTATAAATAAACATATGGAAACATTTAATGAGCAGCATAAAAATGTTACAAGAATATCTTTACACCCTTTGGTCACTTACATTACTTTTCTGTTAGTAAAATATAAACATAAATTTCAGTCTATTAAAGCTTTAACGCTCTTTCGTTCTTCTTTGTGCCTTACATTATTTGACTATTAAACAAAGATTATGATTTGTTACATTCTATTTAGTTATGTATTTGTTTTCTCAGTTTGATTTAAAATATTGATATGCATGAAATTAATCTACTTGCCACAACCCAATTAATTTACCATTACCAAGATACTGTACAAACATATGACAAATTATAACCAAGAATCAAAGGAGTTTCCCCCACAGTTATTCCATCACTCAGAGTTCTTCCTATTGCTGAATAAATATGTATATGAGATTTGTAGTGAAGACTTGATTGATATGATAAACTTATCAAATGTGCTCCTCCTTCAAAGACTATTTCATTACTAATAAAACTCAGTGCTTCAAATATTTGAAAATTTAAAATTAATTGTCTTCCTCATAACTAGCCTACAACATTGTAAGAAGAGACCACCTAACCCTTATTGTTATGCCTAAAATTTTCACAAGTGATCAGCAATACAAGAAACTACAAGTTACAATCCATGTATGTACAATGTGGGCATTGATCGAAAAGAAGCAACATGAAAGCTTAATTACAATGTACTGGTCCAAAAGTTACAAAAAAGACATACGTATTATTCAATATTGCTATACAAAATATGTTACAAGTACATTCAGCGGCAAATTCATTTCTTACTGCTATAAGTTTTCAGATGGCAAAATAAGGATATAGGAATATTTCAAGGGAGACCAGATAGGTAGGGAAATATTTTCTTCATTTATGATGCTACTAAATGAAGGTTTCCTTAAAATGAAAAAGGGGAAAATAATGTTTTTGGCAAGTATACATTGTATATTTTTCTAGAAGTCAAAGTGAAGATAGAACATCACAGGAAAGGATATATTTTCGACTAATATTTTCTTTTGTATTTCTTCACTTCCTCTCTCTTGTCCTTATCCCTCACTCTTTCTCTCTCCCTCCCTCTCCCCCTATCACCTGTGACCATGAATGAACTCCCACTACAATTCAAAAACTATAATTTGACTAACTACTAACAGATACACACATGTATAATATATAGCCTATGTATGAATTATATAAATGCATTATTACTGGACTAGAGTGGCTACATGATGATACTAGTTACAAATAAAAAGTGAACACTTTTTAGTCACAATAAACTGCCCCAAAACAATGTATTTACTCCATAAACTACTACACATTATTCCATAATGAAAACGTAAGAAGACTATATTAAGATTATTTGTTGAAGTCATCTAATTTAATTTGGGGAAAAAAATAAGAATTTATGCTTATCTATGGGATTGATTTCCACATCATTTATAGAACAGCAGTTTACAAAATACCAACACTGTATTTTCTAAATAACATGTATTTCAGTCGTACCATATTTAGCAGGAAGACGAAATTCTTTAAAAAGAAATTTTATAATATGAAAGAAAGGATACACGACTTAATTTTGGGACTCTTTCCATGAATATAACTTCTTGGAATAGAAATGTTATTAGTCTAATTTAGATTTATAGTTAAATTTTATTTTTTTAGGTTGAGTAGTTATGAGAGCATCATCTTCCTTTGCCTCTTGTCCAAGATCAACAGGTTCATCTGATTTAGGACAAATTTGATATGACTGATTTGAAAAAGATTTATTTCTAGATAGCAATAAACTCTTGAATAGTGTTCCCCAGGTTGCCAATTTACTGGGTGAGCGGTAAGGTTGACGGACAGTGACTTCATTACGAGGTGTGTGATACCAGCTTCCCTCCACCTCTTCACGCTGCTGCCTGTAGGTGTGCTCGTTGCCCTGGAGAAATCTGCGGCTGCACAGTTGGAACCCCATTCTCTCTAGTCACGACCTGGCCTGCTCCTCGAGACCAAAGGTGAAGAGGATCATCCCCATTGGGGTTCTCTTCAGACCCAGAGACTCTATCTTCTTGCTCATCTTGTTCTTCATGTTGCGCATCCGGAGGGAGGCATGGATAAAGATCACTGAAAAAGATAGATACATGTACATGTAGATCCTGATAATCAACTGATACGGAACAGTGGCTCTCAAAAAAGGAGAGACTACGGAATTTTCTATTTTACAATAGAAAATCCATGAAGATCTCCAACTAGAGGAAAAGTATATCTTAAATTGCATATTTAAGATAATGCCTACAGGTTCACCAGAAGTGAACTACAGTTTACATAAAATAATTATGCAATATTTTGCATGTATTAGACATGTATTAGACATGTATTAGACACACTCTGCATATATTACCGGTATATAACTGTCTGCTTGTGAACAACTAAAATAATTGTCTGCAAATGAATGACTCTTACGTGTATATGGACCTCTTGCAAAATGTTTATCATCCATGTTACTTAAAAGCAAGACCTAAATGGCAGATAGGTAATAGAGACCACAAGTTTCCCTGCAGAGAGGTTGTAAGTGAATTTTTGTTTGTCTTACCACTTGCTGGTGCGGCCAAGCCCCAGATAAGAACAAGAATGCTGCCAAAGAGATAAAAGAGAAGCCAGATCACAAGGCAGAGCGCGACCACACAGACCACTGGATGGTCCTTCTTGAATTCCTTCACTTCTTTCTTATTGGTAGAACAGTAACTAAATCCAAGGAATGCTGCTATCACAATGGCCAAACCCAATAGCATCTGCGAAGGATTTATACATCTAAAGAAAGAAAGAAATAATGGGAAGTATGGATTACCATTCCTAATTATAACCAAACTACCCATGGCAGAAGCTGGACACAAAAATAAAACAAACAAAAAATATATCTACAAATTAACTTGTTCTGGATAAACTAAATAACGTTGAGATTGCATAGAGATTATTGTTTCTATAGATGAACAAATTATCAGTTCTATTGTCTGGAAATGGAAATTAAACATGTAAACTTTAATAAATGTTACATATATCTACAACTTGAAAACATTATTGTACACAGACACAGAAAATGGAACCTCATTGCATTCATTTGATTAGAAAGATTTACTTCTTTCCTGGCTGATTATTAACACCTACATGTATAAAAAGACAACATTTATCATTCCAAACAACAATATATTGCATAAAAAGGTTATTTCATTAATGTCATTTTATCAATTTATCTGCAATATCGACAGATACAGAGTCTAGACCGCTACTAGATCTAGACCTAGTCTGTTTCCGTAATTGAGGCATAAAAGCTTAAAATAGAATCCAATGTTAAGCAACAGCTTTTATGAAATGTCTAGATAAATACCCACCCCAACCTACATTAATATAATAGTGTACTTAAATTGTTGACACCAATCGAAAAGTAACATATAAAAACGGGTAATACTAATAACCACGGCCACGCCCATTTCCAACACCAACAACCCACAATCACTAATTATTTCCAGCACAGATAAAAATGCGTGGGGCTTCCAACAATGCACTTACCCAACAATAAGGAAAATGACGACGAGAATGAGGAAATAATTCGTCTGGTAATACAGCAAATTATCTATCACTCGGTTGGCCCATCTCATTGGATTTCCTACGGCTGGGGCAGAAAATCTGGCCGATTCCTTGATAAAATCGTCCAAAGGGCGAAAAGGGGGGATTTCAATGTCATCCATCTTGCAGTGTTGACGTCGACTGTTAATTAAAAATGCCGAGCGCCCGCTGCTGGCAGGATCTCGGCGGAGTGCGGATATTCATTAGCCTCTCGACCCGAAGGTTAAGGGTGACACAACAGCTAAAATTCAGGTCAAACTTTGCATGAGGGACGGAATATTTTATCTCCATACATCAACATTACATTCTTGAGTGTCAAAACTCTCGTATAAAAACTTGAATACTTCATAATGGCCGAAGAACCGTAAGTATGGACGTATTAACTTCGAGTTGTGTTTATGAGGAACATAGTAGTCCCATGTGCTTATACTTGTGATGTACATTGTAGAAAGTTTTGAATTTGAGAGTTTAGCACTTTGGGTTTTCAACATCTGTCAAAGTAAAAGATAAGAAAGCCTTTTGGCTATATATTTTTTTGGGAAATCACTCATTTGTCAGCGAACACACACTTGTGTTAGTCGCTACTTGAGTGTAGAGTTGAGTGTAGAGTAGAAAAAGGAGACCTGTGGCAGTGCATGTGACGGCAGTGACGCAATCATGAAGCACTATTTCTATACTATATTTATATAGACTATAGCCTAGTACTAGTTAGTACTGTGCGGAGCGAATGGTGGCTTCCTATTTCATAATAGTTTACTATTGGTCACTATTAATCAAGTTATAAAGTCAAACTGCAAATAAAAAAGTTATTTGTGGCATGATCGTGAAAGTAAATGATTCATTTCAAATATCTTTAGACCCATTTTTTTTAAATGTCTAGATCTATTTTGGGATGTTAATTTTTCCCTATGTTTTTTGATTTAATCCTGGGAAACTACAGTTATACCAGAAAGCAAACAAGTTGTGCATGAAGTACTCCATAAACTTGTATTTTAATTTTTTTTTTTTTTTTTTTTTTTTTTTGGGGGGGGGGGGGGGGGGGGTCTAAAGGTAAAGACCAGTATTGGAAACGCCCCAATTTCAAAAAATGTAATGGAAGCTCTCATTACCAATCATGTGAAAGAATATGTTTTGACTAATACATGATGATAAAAAATTTGCTGGGAAACCGCCTACTAATTCATATATTTGGTAAATTTGTTTCTCTCATGGTCTGTGAGAGATATAGGGTAGTCCCATATACATCTTTCTGTGTATAGTGCTTGTAACTTTACGAAGAATGGCCCAAATTTCTTATCATTTTGATGATTCCAGAACCTTGCAGATGCTAGATGCTAGATGATCAACCTTTTCTGATCGATTCCACAACGTTTCTTTCACAATGCAATTGCATGACCATAACTGGTCTTTACCTTTAATGCAAGTTATGCAACCCTTTATATCAGCTTATTCTAGTTGTTTAGATTGATAAGTTTTTTCCAGTTAATAAATCGGTTACAAATTTGAAGAATAACAAAGAAAGCTTGACTAAATCCAGCATGTTATTTTCCCCTCTTTCCAGCATGACAGTGGACAGTCCAGACGCTTCAGAGTGGTCAGGGCGATGGACACACATTAGGAAACTCCTGGAAAGAACAGGACCATTCGCTACTCCAGAATTTGAGCCAAGTACAGAGGTACATTCATATCTTCAAATCCTCAATAGACTTATATATTATATCATAATCATATTATATTATATTATTATAATATAATGTTATTGCCATACATGTATATATGCATACATCTGCCCAGTAGCATCATAGTTTTGTTGGTAGTAATAACAATGATGATGTTGATGAAGATGAAGATGATGATAATGATGATGATGATGATGATGATGATGAAAAGGATGATGATGATGATGATGAAAAGGATGATGATGATGATGAAAAGGATGATGATACTGATGAGTAAAAGGATGATGATAATGATGATGAAAAGGATAATGATGATGAAAAAATACTATACTGGCAAATATTTGATATTGGGGAAGGGCAATGATGAATTTGCCCTATATGTTACCCTTTGCAGGAAAGATATAAATGTACACAATGATTGTATGTTTATGGTGGCCCTACTACGAGCATCATAGAGCTATGGCCTATGGGCCACATATCCAGAAAATGGTGCTCTCAAATGTTGATTTTGCATTTCATTTTATATTAGCATCATACAATACATGTATAATGAGCAAATAAATGTGCCATTAACTTTTCAGCTGCTTGGGATCATGTTGGAGCATCTACGAGTCTTGGTAATCGGTGCTGGAGGTCTTGGCTGTGAGATACTCAAAGACTTGGTAAGACTGTTTCAACCATCAAACATGATCATCTAGGAAACAATATAAGTGTCTGACATTGGGGGGGGGGGGGAGGCAAGATATTATCTGATAAATAAAGTCAGAAAATCTGGGACAAACTACATTTTCTAAGAACAGAAATACATTTATGATTTAATGGTTTATTTCCTTTATAGATACCTGAAATATGACATAAGACTAAAATACTTAGGCCCTGATTCTTGCACATAGAATCAAATATATTTGATAGGAGTCAACTATTTGCTTAAAAAACCCTTATGTTCCTTAGTAAGTTTTATAAATAGTTATGTTGCCTTTGATGAGAAGGTATATAGTAATGAAGTTTTGTATTTATGGTAGTCATTTGATGTTTATAGTGGTTTTACTTGTAGAACTCAGGTTATGTATATTGGGGATGATACCAAAATAATATTAGCAGGGAAGATTATGATCTCCTGAATTGTCTATTAAATATTCAGAATTAACATCCACCCTTCTTTGTAACCTGTAACATTTGTTATGCCTCCGCCACCGAAGGTGGTGCCGGAGGCATCATGTTTTCGGGTTGTCCGTCCGTACGTCCCGTTTGATCGTTATCACAATATCTCAAGAACCATTTAAGATTTAAACTTAAGACTCGGGAATAGTATTTATCACCATAGGAAGACGATCTGATTAGATTTTGGAGTACGTAGGTCAAAGGTCACAGGTCACAGAGGTCAACTTATGAAATTCCTTGTATTGAGTTTGTTAGCGCGATATCTCAAGAACCATTCGAGATTTAAACTTCAAACTTAAGGATAGTATGTATCACCATAGGAAGACGATCTGATTAGATTTTGGAGCACGTATGTCAAAGGAAAAGGGTCACAGAGGTCAACTTATGAAATTCCATACATTGAGATTGTTATCATGATATCTCAAGAACCACTGGAGATTTAAACTTCAAACTTAGTGATGGTGTGTATCACTATAGGAAAACAATCTAATTACATTTTGGGTCACGAGGTCAAAGGTCACAGGGCTCATTATGTATGCAAAAACAGCTTGTGATCGCGTTATCTGAACAACCGATTGATGGATTCCTGCCAAACTTTGGTCATGTATGTATCTTGCAGAGCTGATGAACTGATTAGATTTTGGGGTCACGAGGTCAAAGGTCACAGGGCTCATTATGTATGCAAAAACAGCTTGTGATCGCGTTATCTGAAGAACCGATTGATGGATTCCTGCCAAACTTTGGTCATGTATGTATCTTGCAAAGCCAATGAACTGATTAGATTTTGGGGTCACGAGGTCAAAGGTCACAGCGCACATTGTGTATGCAAAAACAGCTCGTGATCGCCTTATCTCAAGAACCGATTGATGGATTCCTGCCAAACTTAGGTCATGTATGTTACTTGCAGAGCTGATGAACTGATTAGATTTTGGGGTCATGAGGTAAAGGTCAAGGTCATGCGGCTCATTATGTATGCAAAAATAGCTTGTGATCGTATTATCATTAGAACAGATTGATGGATTCCTGCCAAACTTAGATCATTTATGTATCTTGCAGAGCCAATGAATGGTTCATAAGATCAAAGGTCATGGGCTCATTATGTATGCAAAAATAGCTTGTGGACGCATTCTCATTAGAACTGACAGATGGATTACTATTTAACTCAGGAAATCTTGCAGAGCCAATGAACTGAGTAGATTTTAGGGTCATGAGGTCAAAGATCAAAGGGTCATATATGAGAAATTGCTTATAATCACGATATTCTGAGAACATGTTAATGGATTACAATTGAACTTGAATTTGAAAAATTTCTTCCGTTTCGGTTTGTAAAATTGCTCTATGACGGAGGCATCATTTTCGACTGCGCGCAGTCGAATTCCATCTAGTTTCCTATGTAACTTATAACTTTGCTATTTGTAATGTGTCATCATCTTCATTAGATCATTGAATAAGCTCTCCGCAGGATATTTTGAATTATACTCAAACAAGATCCGTTTATTACACTGATAGTTCCAATAGTTAATAACATCATGCTGTATGTAGTGTTAGTTATGTGATTTAATGTGATGAAATACAAATTTTTTAATTATTATCAGATTTGTTATCAGAGATCTATTTATTTACATCTACGGAGTTTGTCTGTTTTTTGTTTTTCCATTGTAATTTGCATAATTATTCCCAGAGAGTTGTAGAAAGTTGTTTTTGATAAAGATGAGCCCTACTTCTTCTGATACTCACTACTAAAGTTAAAAGACAGTACCGTAAGTGAAGAATTTCTCAATTAGTGGTTTGAAATAAAATCCAAATGTTTTGTACACAGGAGCTTTTAAATCATTTTGTGTTGTTGTCAGAAGGCTCTATGTGGTCTTCCTTTACATTTTTCCAGGATGTTTAATTTCTGTACATGCATTTCTACATTTTATTTCAGTATTCCATATTACACTTCCTGTGTAGCAAAACTGTGGAAAATATATAACATGTCGCTATCTTGAGTAGATGATCTTTCACATTTAATCTTGAATTAATAGATATATATGCTCCCTATCTTTTAATAACATCATTTATGTTTTTTTAGACGATAATGCATTCTAATAGATGAACTTGCTCTCAATTTAGCTTATCCCTTAGGTTCATTCATAGACACATACAAGCATCTATTTACTTATTTGCAAAATTTTGTAGATTTCACAAAATTGCCTTCACTTTAAAATTGTATATACTGATACTCCTTGCACATTGTAGAGGTCATTTATTAAACATTTGACCTGTGATGGGGGAAATATCCATACTTCATATTCTATGTATAATGCATACATGTACATACAAAATATTTTTCTCCTCCCTTGCCAGGCTCTGAGTGGTTTTCGTCAGATTGATGTTATTGACATGGATACTATAGATCTTTCAAACTTGAATAGACAGTTCCTGTTTCGGTAAGCTAGAAAAATGTTTCACAACTTTTTGTTTTCTTCCCTCCTTTTTTAAATCACACCCTTGTGTGAGATGAGCATGGGAATAATTAATGATACTAATGATGATAATGTAAAATGAAGGGAAAATGGATTATTATAATAGTGAGGAATGATTATTGAAAAAAGCAACAATATATGTCATATTTAACCTATGTGCATATCAAAATCTCTAATCAAAATTCAGATTAGTTCCATAAGACACTCCAATAAAACATATTCTTTCACATACATGCTTGATTTATTGATAATTACTGTTTTTTGCCATCTTTCTTCGTGAACTTTTGTATAGAATATTCAATACTTCATATTATAAAAACCATGGAAATTCTTTAATTGTCCAACTTTGTGTGAACACTCAAAAGGAACAAAATATGCAATATAGTGAATCTCTAATAGTTTTGTTTGTTTTCTGTCATTGGGATACAGAACCAAGGATGTTGGTAAAGGAAAGGCAACAGTAGCAGCTGATTTCATCAATGACAGAGTTGCAGGCTGTAAAGTCACACCGTATCCTTATATCATCAGCATAACATCACTTTGTGGTGCAGATTATCACACTTTGATTTGTATTTATTTTTCTTATCAGCTTTTTAAAATCTTCCACTTTGTTGAAGATAGAAATAAAGTGACGTTTTTGGTGATAATTTAAGTTATGAATATGAATGGTTTAGTTTAACTATTTCTAATTCCATTTGTATTGTTTATGGGAGCCGATTGGTCTCTGTATTAAGCTGATGGGAATGAGAAAATTCAATAGTCAACAGGTTTCGTGTTTGCCAATCTTTCTTGTTTTGCCTGTTTTGAGAGTAATGACAATTTGTTTTAGTTTGGCGAAAATAAACGATTTTCAAATATATCATTGATATTTTGATAGTATTTTTTTTTTTTTTTTTTTTTAAATTTACATGACAGTTTATTGATAGTGAGATGTATATTTCCTGTCTTTTTGTAATTGCCATAAGTTGTAATATTTATCTGTGAAATAAGCGCATGGTAATACATTTATTGATAAGAATATGAAGTTATGTGGCATAAATATAAATGATGCAGCTGTGGATCTTCTTTTACATGTATGTTACTTCATTCTTTTTTTATGTCTTATGGTCAAGTTATTGCCTTAACTAACTCTTTCTTTCAGTCACTTTGATAGAATTGAAAGTTTTGATGAAACTTTTTACAGACGTAAGTATGAATATGCATCAAATTTGTGACAATTATTTATTAATTATGGTTTTAGTTTGATCAAGTGAAGGCAAGTTCATATAACTTTAAAATAATGATAAAGAACAAGTACAATTATTAGACTCTATACCTTTATATATATGTGTATAGTATATATATTCATCCAACTATGACACAACTTTTCTTTTTTTTTGGGGGGGGGGGGTGGGGTTGTTATAGAAGACTTAAATTACTTTATTTCCATTAAAGAAATGTATATTGTCCTTAATATTTTGAAAAAAGAAAGGAGAGAGAGGGAGACAAAATGACAGTAAAGATTTGTAAACTACTCTTTAAGTGAATTTAAAGTGAACTTTTTATTGTGCTTGATCTCATGGAATAGATTGGTTTTTGTAATTGTTGCTTGTTTTTCTCCTTCTCATTTGCAGAGTTCCATTTGATTGTATGTGGCCTAGATTCCATCGTAGCAAGACGTTGGATGAATGGAATGCTGGTAAGTTACAAGGAGCTAGTGTCTCAAAATATTCTCAAATATTCTTTTTATGTTTTACTCTCTCTCTCTCTCTCTCGTTTCATTTACCCCTAATTGATATTAATCTTTAAAAATGTTTAGATCCTATTCAATTTTAGTCGTTTGTAATGTGAGTTTTAAGGAAGGATTTCATATTTTAAAGAGCTTTTACATATCAATGTTAATGATTACAATAAATTAAGTCCATAGAATATGTATGGTAAACACACTTATCTTTGCTTATGAGCTTTCAGCATTGATTTTCTTGCATCCGATACATTTTCTGCCTTGTATTCTTGCCCGATATGTATGGGAGTATTGTGGTTTATTGATGAAGGCCCTTGACTCTCATACAGGAGGTCCTGGGTTCTACCTTTCCTTTGTGCTAGCATCCTTAGACAAGGGCCCTGTTGCATAAAACTTACCATTGATAGTAACTTTGCCATCAATGGCAACTACCATGGTAACAGGGCTCAACAGCCAATCAAAATCATGGTTTCCATGGTAGTTACCATCAATGGTAAGTTTTGTGCGACAGGGCCAAGGTGTTTTGCTCTCATTTGTGTCTGTCAACCCATGTGTATTAAATAGGTACATGGCAACGCTAGGGTAATTAAAATTGCTAATCTTCATGAAGAACACTTTTGATACTAATGAGGATACCCTGGGTAAATAAGACCATATATTCATCAGCTACTGTCCCTCTTTTGAACATTTCTTGTGTTCTTTCTATGTCTACTAGCTCAGCATGGTCGGGTATGATGATGAAGGTAACATGGACCCAGACACCATTAAGCCTATGATAGACGGAGGTACAGAGGGGTTCAAAGGTAACGCCAGGGTCATCATGCCCGGGATGACCCCATGTATAGAGTGCACCCTTGACCTCTACCCTCCTCAGGTATGTTCATCTCAAATGGATCAGAGTAAAAGGGCTTTTTGTTCATGGTAGTTGTTTCAGATTTGCCCTAAATTTGAGGTTTCCCTGTGGTAGGTCTTACAATTTTTTTTACTGTCTTGTCCGAATAGATAACATGAATATAATGTGATAAATGACACATGCAGTGCTTTTTCTTCATTTTTTATATGTGAGTATGCATGTAAATCTACAGAATAGTGAAGTTATGATTTACAGTAGGTTTGAACTGATTTCTTTGTTGTCCATGTAGTCACAATTAAATACTGGCAGATTAATATCTTATGAGGAATTTTCTGGCAATATTTGTATGAAAAGTTAAAAGGTTACAGTTCACAAATTTAAATGGCTGACATGAAATGGTGGCTATCATGACAATTTATCATGAGACTGTTTATGAAATCTAATATGAACCTGAATCTGATATATTCCGGTAAAATTGAAACTTGTAACATTTTTACACTCATGAAAGTTTTTTAAATGAATAAGGATGTAAATTGAGTTTAACTCAATTATAAACAAACAATCGCTAATATCCTTTATCGCATTGAACATTTCATGAGATAATAAATCCATAATTAAGTTTTTTGAAGTCTAATGGTTTTGCCTGAAGATGTTCACTCCTAATTGATTCTCTTGTTTGTACATGAAATTTTCAGGTGAACTTTCCCATGTGCACCATTGCTCATACACCAAGGCTTCCAGAACACTGCATTGAGTATGCCAAGGTTCTACTCTGGCCACAAGAAGATCCGTTTGGTGGTAAGTAATACCATTAATCACATATCCAATTTCATTGAAAACAGTTTTGAGCCCAAAGGTTTTACATATGAGCTTGAAGCCAAGTTTAAGCTGTTGCAGTGGATATTTCTTTGAAGAAAATGTTTTTCAAACTTGTGTAGAATTGTTGATATTTTATAGTAATAAACTGATTGGGTCAGCCATATTTTTAAAGCAAATATTGAAAACGTGCTGTAGGCCGTAAACTCTGAAAGTTGGCAATTAACACAAATATATGTACATATTATGGAACAAGGGTGCAGGTAAACAATGTATATGGCCTGGATATTTGGCAGATGGTATTTAGTTATGCTAATTGAGTTTACTATCAAAGTTAGAATCTCTATATTTTAAATTAATTTTGAATCCTTGCCAGAATTGCACACTTTTGAATGAAAATATATCTATTTTAACTGATGGTCTTTTCTTTGTATTTCAGCTGGTATTTTGTTAGATGGAGATGACCCTTCTCATGTCCAGTGGATCTTTGAGAAGGCTCAGGACAGAGCTGACCAGTACAACATTACAGGAGTCACCTACAGATTGACCCAAGGTATACCAGTTGCCAAGTTTTTTAATGTTATGATTATTTTGTAACAATGCTCAGCATTTATATTTACTGTTGACCTCAGAAAAATGTTTCTGAAAATTAAGATTTTCCTTAGAGATAGGACATTTGATTTGCTTATTTACACATTATTCAAAAAGTGTGTACATGATGTTAATGTGGTTTGTTATATTCTCTATGTTTTGCCTTTGTAGAACAAAGAAATTGATTCATTATAAATACAATTCAATTCATGTTTGTTTTTCCATTTTTCTCTTGTCTTTCCTATGCACCCTCTCATTCAATCCATCTGTCTCACTCCATTTCTCTTTCTCACCTGTCCTGTTTATCTCTCTCTCTCTCTCTCTTTCTCTCTCTCTCTCTCTCTCTATTAACCTCCTGTCCTGTTTATATCTTTCTCTCAGGTGTTGTAAAGAGGATCATCCCAGCTGTAGCCTCAACCAATGCAGTCATTGCTGCTCAGTGTGTCACAGAAGCCTTCAAAATTGCTACAAGGTACAATTACGGTGATATATGGGACTATCACTATGTAACGATATATATTTCCCTCCAGAGATTTTAAGAGATCCCTTCTGTCCTTTGGGGGTCTTTTCTTTGTAAATTTAAGTTAAGAGATATATAGTTTGTCATTTAGAATGTGTTGATGTTTACTATTATGATAAAAGCTTAAGAATTACAGTGTATCATAATATTTTTGTTTTCCAACTGATAATTGAAGTAAAAAGATATATTTTTTAAAATTTGTATTAATTTGTTTTGTTTTATCTTCTTTTCCAATATAAATTATACATTTATTAATACAAATGTGGGGTTATGTTATAAGTTCATCACTTTTTATAATCCCCCACATTGACATCAATTCATTTGTTGTCTGATGTTATTCTATATTTCTGCTTTTGTTCTTGTTGAAATTTTCTCCCCCTTTATAATATTTACTATGTATTTCGTGTATATTGTTTGAATTTTTTTATGGAAATGTGGAAATAAATCATTTCAATTCAAGGTGTTTTTTTTCTTGATAGTTGCTGCTTTCCTTTGAAGAATTACATGGTCTTCAATGACACAGATGGTTTATACACATACACATATGAGGCTGAAAGAAAGGTAATGTTTCCAGCTCCTCATGTTTGATGTTTAAAAGGCTTATTCTGACATGAATAGGAAGAAATGGATGCAGTAATCGGGTAACCCTGTAAAAAAAAGGAGGTCTAGACATTCTAGCGGTATGCTATGTTATTTTCAGATTTTCTTGTATTCTTGATCTGTTCATTACATTCAAGTTTAAAACCCTTGTAAAATATAATTTACATGTTTTTTTTATATGGACAATTGGACTTTAAATGGGTATGTTACAACAACAACAACAATTTTGTTAATATAAATATGAACCCTCCCCCCTTTACAATACAATATTGCTATCTAGTGGTGAACTGTTACCAGAGAATCAAATATTTACGAAACTCTGTATCATGATTGAATTGAATTCTTTCATCCACCCATCCATCCTTCCACTCATCCATCCATTCATTTGTTTGTCCATTCATTAATTTATTTACGTATTATGTTTATGATACAGGAAGACTGTCTTGCATGCAGTAGAAAACCCCAGAATCTAGAGCTGCCAGAGGATGCTACATTACAAATGCTAGTGGACCATCTTACAGAGAGCAATACATTGTAAGCTACTCTTTTAGCATGTGTGATACTAGAAACATGATTTATTATGTATAGGACCATTGTTCATTGTATTAATGTGATTTGATATACCAGCACACAAGATGTGTGAACAATATATGCACATATGATTGTAGATTTTAATCGAAATATTTACTGACTGGGCGCTAGTTTAAAAGAAGAAAAGGGAAGAAAAAAAATCATCTTACTGCAAAACCCCAATACTGTACGTTTAGAGTTATGATTTGAAAGAGGAATTGCCTGAAGCACAAAGTCATGATGCAACTTTTTTCTTGTCGATCAAGCAACAGAAAAGTATCATTAACACGTAATTCAACTCTATACAATATATATATATATATATATATATATATATATACCTGTGACACAAAATGAAAATTAAGATTTTTTTTCAAGTAGTATTCAAAAGGCCGATGACTTTTTATTCAAATCCTATGTTTTTACAGACAAATGAAAGCACCAAGCATCACGACGACAGTAGATGGAAGGAATAAAACATTGTACATGCAGAGTGTGGAATCTATCAGGAAAAGAACAAAGGAAAATCTACCAAAGAAATTAACAGGTGAGCTTTCAACCGGGTGGAAAATAATTACACTTTCAAGCTGTATTGATTATTATAATGTTGAATTGTAAAATCAAATCATAAAATTCCACCAAATAAGAGACATATGCCATTTATGAGATAACTACTAATATTTGTGACACAGCTAAGGAGACTTGCTAAATACTTTGTCATAAACTTTTAATTTTGTGCAAGACTATAGTGGTATAAAAGATGGAAAATTTGTTGGAGGTGATAAAGTGCCTTCACTCTTGTAAAAGTATGGTCTTTTTTCATGTAAAAGTTTTCCAATTGCAACAGATAGTTGCATCATCTTATCCTCTTCATTTCCAAATTACAAACTCTAATTTCAATTCAGATAAGATACAAACCAATCAGTCTACTATTCAAAATCTTTCAATCAGTTTTAGATGATGCTTCTCATCACACGAGCTAAGAAGTACTATGTAGTCCTCTGAATGATCATGGAGACTTGTGATTTTCCTTTGTATAATTTACGTCTTTTACATTTGATAACTGAATATTATAAACATACATTTCGAAAGTAAATACAGAATCATAGTTGTACTTTATATATTTGTTTCAATGTTTGTTTTTCTTTATATTTGTTTTAATGATTCCTTGTTTTCCTCTGTAGATCTGGGACTGTTAAGCGGTAATGAATTAGCTGTTGCAGATGCTACAACTCCCTCCTGTCTCATCTTCATTCTCAAACTTGTACCAAAGTGAGAGTTTATTATGAATTGGTACAACATTAACATGATTTTGTAATCCATGTGTTCTGCTCTCAGTCTGTGAAATGTAAAAACTGAAAGTTTTATAAATGAAAAATTTCACTTCATAGTATTACTGTTGTATGTAGAGTCGTCATGAAGATTCAATTGTGACAAATACCTCAAGTACAGTGAGGTTTATATGCACATGCGGTTTCATCCAAAAGCGGCAACTTGCTCTCTCTCTCTCTCTCTCTGGTTTTGTTTGTTTATCAGTGAATTAAAAGAGAGGTACATTCAACATCAATGTTGTAAAACAAAAAAGCCATACAGAGGGAAAGACAGTTATGGTGCAAACTATTTTCAATTTCTTCTATGCAAAGGTAGTAATGTTAGCGTCTTTGTATGTGTGTTTGCATATGTATTTATATGAAAGGGGAATGTCCTCAAGTTGACTACACTGGATGGAAAGTACCTTTTATTTGGCAAGTCCAAGCTATTTCGTCTCCTACGTTACCGTTCACATCTCAGATTTTAATATACCAGGTACATGTATCTGATCTACTGGAGCTTATATCAGACACATTTGATTTCAATTTATGTTCAGAACTCCTCCACACTTGAAAACATATGGTACACCGAATAGCCTGGACTTGCCCAACAGAGAGATCATTTTGCAATCTTTATTATTTTGTGAAGTGTGGCACAACAGTCTATTTTGAGAGACCTACTCACTGAAAAGAACCCTTTTTATGTATACCAAACTCAAACTGTTCCTGGATATTATTTCAATGAACAATCGTAAATTTATAACCTGTCCAATGTAAGAAATTCCACCCCAAAAGAAAAGAAGACCCAAGACAATTTTAGTCATGCTTCTGACTTGGAGACATTCCATCTGTTGAACTCAAGACTAGTCATGAACATATAAGACACTGTAAAATATAGTGAAATTATAAAATAAAAATGTTGTGTTTTAATACCACAAATAATGTAATGTAAGAATATTTATTTCTCACATTAGCATAAACTTTGATACATTGTAATACTTCATAGCGCCACTGACATCCAAGTGTTGGAGAAATATAAGTTGTACATGTATCAAAGAAAACAGTGTTCTTCTTCTTCTTCTTCTTCAAGATAATCTGCCTCCTTCAATACTGAAGATTCTTGCAGATGCCGTATACTCGGCCTGGTTGGAGTATGCAGGTGGACCACTATAAATTGTTTTGTAATTGCAGATAATATTAATTGATGATTATAAAAGCTTGTTGCTGAAACAATCATTCATAAATTTATTTAGACGAATTAAAGTGAAGGATACATGTACATCAAGGGTATTCCTGCAATATGCCACCAATGTATATAAAGGCAGTACATGTTTCAGTCTATGTGTGCAATTGCATTATCTTTGTTGGCCTATAAAACTGAAGAAATGCCCATAACTTTCCCTCCATTCTTATTTTCGTTCACTCTGGAAAACTCTGGAAATTTCAAACCCCATATATATGTCTGTCTTTATACTTTTTGTACTGTAAATTCCAATGAAAATGTATGTTAATGTCTCAGTGACTATTTGATAGTCCCTAAATCCAACTGCTGGATACATGTAAAACATGAGTAAAAGTAAGAACACTCTATATAACTCAGTACACAGTACCATAATATTTATTAAAGGAACATGTATTTCTGGGATAAAATAATAAGAATTCAAATTGATCATGTACAATATCAAACAGAGTGCATGTACTTTCTAGCAAGGGTGTGATAGTTACATTAATCTCAATGTATAATGATTGACAAAGTGTTAAAGGTACTATGTCCCATTTGCAGGCCCAAAAAATGAAAAAGTTAAATTCCAACTGCATTTGAGAGATAATACTAATTTAGAACTTTCCTAAAGAGGCGGGGCTTGAAAATGTCTTCAAGTGGGAAAATAACGACTATTAGTTGTCAAATCGACTTTAGGGCTATAGAGCCCCAAAATAATAGTCTTGATTTTCAGACAATTGTACCGAATGGTCATACGTTTTATGCTGCGCAAAGATTCAATCAGTTTAATCTTGGCCATCACAAGAAGTGGGTTATTGATGTAGACAAATGCTCATGTACCCTTTACAACTCTTTTCATGTATGTTATTACCAAAGAAGAAAAAAAGCCAGTCAGTCACTCAATAGTGTCTGACAGTAAAGTCTAGCAAGTAAACGGGTTTCCTTGCATAATTTGAATATGAGGACACTGCTAACGTTTAAATTTCACAGATAGGACATACATGACATATTCATAATTCCTGCAAAGTTCTACAGATTTTGAGGTTGGCTGCAAAAGGGACATAGTACCTTTAATGCTGGAAGCGCTGTAAAACCACAGTTAGTTTGCAAAAGAGCTATAGAAATGACTTTATTGTATTGTATTGAAGGAATGTGTTAAACCTGTACATTCTCAACAAAAAAAATGCTGTAGTTACAAGGGCATCGTTTAAGAAAATCATGGTAAGTACAAGCTCACTGACATCGTATTGAAATATACAGTGTTAAATTTTATACACATGTTTCAATGGGTAGTCAGTGAACTTGTACTTATGACTGTTACTTGAAAAGCTGTCCATGTATATATGACAGTAGAATTGTGTAGTATTTATTAACAAGGATTAAACAAGATTAATAAAATTATAAAGAGAGTATTACATTTAAATTAAAAATGTTAATGGCCAATCGGTATGAATGATGGGAACTACAGGGTTTTCCTTACAACAAAAACTAGAATCAAATTCATCATTTAAGAGAGATCATAAATCTTTGGGAATATTCAGGTATATTGTATCATAACTTATGGAAAATAAAGTTGTACAATACATCACCCATGCTTCATATTTATTATTCAGTTTCATTTGTTTCCAGTACAAGTACTTTAAATTAACTTAAATCATGGTACATGTATCATCAACAAAGTTTCCAATATCAATGTTTTTTGAAGAAAAAAAAATCTCCAATCACTCGAGCAAGACAAAAAATATTCCTCACATTTTAAAAGTTTCATGGCTCCAAAAAGTCAGTGTCCGCCAATAAAACAATCCAGTTTTGCCAAATAGAAGTTTGAACTGGAAATGGTGTGTTACAGCCCCTGGATCCATATAAAAAAATTTGGGTCTGTGTCTAGGCAAGGACAAGGTACCCCGGTATGTGGTAATGTCTATATCCCATACATGACTATATTATCACTATAAAATTGAGAACATAACAAAAAATACAACTATAGTTAACACTGCATCAGTCAAATCTGTTGGGACCAGTAAAAAATAGTTTGACTAACGCAAAATTTGATTGATGAAATGTAAAGAATATGTTATGCATTGTTTGGTAAAAAAAAAATTGATTCAAGTTAGGGGAAATTTGACTTGTGCAACTACAAATTATGCAGAGTTAACTGTAGAATTACGTCTTGTTCGAGCTATAGCACGGCTATCACCTTCATGCAATCATGAGGTATACCGCAATATTTCATGAGCTTCGTAATGTATGTGACAAAATACTAAGAATTGTCCATTTTCATACTAACACAAACTGGCAGCACTGCTCTATTTGTTCTACCATGAGTGTGCCCACCATCCAATTTGTGTTTGTTTTACACATAAACTATGATAAATAAGAATAAATATCTCTAGAAACTAAATCAACTGTTGTTCCTTGTGTCATTTCTTTTTTGTTTTCCGTACTGTTGTCCAGCCATCCTCGTCTTCCGCCGGTTCCTGTCCTGTAAAACAAAGAATGTGAAACATAACGCACTACCATGTCTATTAAATACAATGTTATAATACTTGAGTTACAAAATCATTCAATTCTTACAGTCTCTTTGGCTCAAAATAGCCGTCAGAGACGATTTTGTTTCAATTATAAGGGCATGGCATAGGCCTTATTTCATGATGTTCAGAATAAAAGGTCGAGATAGTTGAACAATCATTGGATAATAAATGAGTAAATTTATGTTTCCCATCACAACACATCCTAAATCTTTCATATTTCTCAAAATATTTTTACAATAAAACTCATTTCTCAACATTCTCCATATCTTTTAACCTTTGTTCTTTTCTTCCTTTTTCATTTCTTTCATCTTTGAAGGAGCTTGCAGAAGATGAATCTCATACAGGTTCAATATACACCATACCATGTACATCAGCATATGACATATTTGTATGTACACATGTATATCAACATTTTATATATTTAACATATTAAGAAAACCCCAGTTAACCTACTTGAATTTATTGAAGAACTAGATGAGGATGCTCCTCCTGTTGCTCCTAAGGATGATGACGATGATGACGATGGTCCTGCCATCTCGCTATTATTTTGTGAACTGCTCCCATGTGATTGTTGACCTAACCTCATTCCACCCAGCATAGCCTGCATGTTGGCATCCTGCACTGACCCATCTGGGACATCATCCTGATGATAATTCAGATTTAGATTTTATTGTCCACATTAAAAAAACACAGACATTTGGCCTCCACTGGCAGGAGATAACAATGAATAACATAAGAATACATAAATGTCCACAAAAAAAATACATTAACTAGATTAAAAAACAGTTGAATACATTCTGACAAGAGTAAGATGAGAAAAGGAATGAAGGGAGCTGAGCAAGAAAAGACAGGAATGTACAGTAGGTAAGGGAAAGAGAGAATAAAAACCACTTGCATAACACGTTATTATGACTCCAGACATCTGCTTTACTGAAGGTAAAGGTAAAAAGGCAGCGGCCCCCACTTGCAAACATATACAAATTCTGTGAGGAATTATGATTAAGTACATGCATTACAAACTCCATCATACATCATCATACCTAATCAATAAAAGACGCTTTTGTGACCCTATCATCTTCTCTACCCAATCTCTCTTGATGAACTGCTTTATTTAATAGTCAATGTATTTCTCAACCTCAACACAAGGAAACTAAATGGAGACTTTATAAGAAATTGCACATTGCAAAAAGAAATTTTTCATTTTCTGATGACTGTATCTATATGCCTTCATATCAAAGAAAAAATATAAAATCTAGATGTAACAATTAATAGCTGTTGCATTTTCACTACTCGGATGTTTCAATATCAACAAAGTTAGAAAAGTATGCTTCTCTCCAATACTCTACATCTGCTGATCCTAAGAAGAAAAGAGATTTGTAAGTTGGGGGTCTAAGGGGTAGTGTCTATTTCAGTATTGCCAGTAGCAAATTGCTCCTTCTCCCAATGTTACTGAATGGTGCTCCTCCTTGGTAGGAGTACATATACACAGATAACACTTTAAAATCAAATGTCTCCATGATATACAGAAACATCTCATCATTTCTAAATCCTGTGAACTCATTAATGGTGCCATGATTTAAAAGAACATATTAAGACTGATGAAAGCAGTGAAAGAATCAGCTTTGAGTTACCTCTTCCATATCCTCTGTTGCGTCTGCCACACACTCTCCAATTCTTGCTGCTGGTGTCTGCTTAATCTTCTCCAGAACTGCCTCATGGTGACCAGTTGTACAAAGGTGGAAGTTGGTACAGATATTGGTAGCAACCTAAGGAATAAAATGTTGTTGTTCCACCTCCAAGATTGAATTGTTTCACAAGAGCATACATTGTGCAGGTTTTTAAGATACATACATATATTCCACTCAGGATATAACGGACTAGTAAGTCTATAAGAAATAGCAGTTTTTTTAAGGAGTCACAAATAAGTTTTAATTTTATCATGGTTCAATGGTATGACTTGTTTTATTATAAATAAATTTTAGGGAAACAATTTTTTTTATATTAATTAGAATATACATTATGATTTAAAGATGTACATATACATTCAGTTTAGGTCACTTAGGTGGAATATATAGCACAATAAAATGTTAAAAGTCTTTCTCAAATGTGTGCTTTTCAAGAAGTCACAAATAAAGTTTTACATTTTAATTCTAACATGGTGTTCATGATTGTATCACACATGACTTGAATTATCATATAACAATCAATGAAACAATCAGGAGGTTATTTCACACAACCAACTCCATGACAGCCATATATTTTCTATCAAATATACACATGTAGTCAAATTTTATACATACCAAATTTAAGCTGTCATCTTCTACTATTGTGTCAAATTCATGGTCTAGAATGTCGGCCAGAAAATCCTCCAATTCATATGGTTCAATTCCATCTGAAATGAGAAACAATTCATTGAAACTTCATAAATAACAGAAAAAGGGTATTGTCCCATGATTCTTTATTTCTTCTTCCCCCTCTCTTTTTTTACAAAACAATAGTTTGTTTACAAACTTCTTGTCTATTTACTTGCTTACTTACTGCCCATTATGCCTCCTGGCACATAGGGCAGCAACAAAAGTCTTCCACTCCTTCCGATCCTCTTGTCTATTTATTTAGCATGAAGAAATTGTTCATAACTTCAAGTTTTGTTTTTTCACTACCTTCAAGGGGCTGCCAAATTTCTTTAAGCAAAAATATGGAATTTTAATGCTGTCATCTACCCTATATATTTTTGCTTTCCTCTCGCTAAAGACACAAAATCGAAGAAACTTATCTTACTCTGATTTATTTATGGAGATCAAGACTTACAAGATATCAAATACACTCAGCTCAGTAGTTACCTCGACACCGTTCGGGTGTTTACCCTATAACAGGTGTTGTCAATCACCAGGGTTAGCCTCAAGTTTTATGACCATTCGACCTTATGTAATTCTTTGCTTTTCCCTCATCCGATCCGAAGCGGGATCCAAATTATGGCCTTTTGCACAAGTAAACTGACGAGTGACTCCCTTTAAAACTTACCATTTTCTAAAAACCAATCATGTACTGCATCTACCATCCACCTTGCTTTCTCCAAACCATGAGGACCACCATAACCTTGCCTCACTGCTAGCTGTATATCAAATAAATTAAAAATATAGTCTTGCACATCAAATGCCATGGTTCGAAGCATCAAAGGTTTACTTTTAAAGCTTTGTTGAATATCACACCGAAGTAAGCAGGTAAGAAAGGCATTGTCTGAAATAAATTTTCAGCATTTTGACTTGATTGCTCTCAAACTTAGATAATCCAATGTAGCTATACAATTACAAGAATTGATGAATATTATATAAAATCAAAATGATCAGCCGAGTACGTCGTATGAAAACATAGACTCATTCATGTGACAGTGAAACTGAGACCTTAATTAATGCGCACAACAAAACATTCACGGCAACGTTAAGAAGACCTACATCAGCCTAAGATTCACTCTCTTTAACCAAATTTTTAGATGGTAGCAACTAGCACTAGTAGATCTCTAGCAATTTGTATAAGTTCTCTGCATAGATCATGTAGATAGACCCACTAAGTATTACTAACACGGATTACAACACATGGGGCTAGAAAAAATACAGGGGGTGACAATAACAATGGAAATTACTTGTAATAACAAATCTCGTAATGTAATTTTTCCCTATCTTTGGGGATGTCTGTATTTACCTGTAGACCGGTCCATCCATCGAATATAGATTGAATACTTTGGTGAAAAACCACAAGATGCTCTTTTGCTCCTGCATACGCCATGCTTTTCACAGTTTCAGCGCCCTCAGCGAATTTCTTGAGCCAATGTTTGTCACGAAAACTGCACACAGATGGGACGAAAGTCCACTAAAGAACCTTAATTCACGTTGGAAAGACACTCTTCTTCAATGTTTTAAGGTAGCTATAATAATCGTTAGTATTATATGTATATTTCTGTGTGCCTATCATATGATTTTCGACGTGATGAATGATGTGAATGTGCTGTGATGATGTGTGTAATTAAGCTGGATTGATGCATGACTACACCCCATTTACGGTACACGAGCTCGCCGAGCCTTCCCGGAGGAAGAGCGCGGGGCCTAGCTACTAGAGCCTGGGCCTGAGGCTGCAGCTGTCGGTCGCTTGGGCAAGACGCGGCGGCAAGGCCATGCTTTGCAGGCCAGCTCTGATTTGACATACCTCAAGTGTCAATAAACAAGGTGTAGGCGGAGTTTAAGATACTTGGCTACATTACGATTATGATCTCTGATTTTTTAAAGTTGTATTCTACACAGGTCTAAAAGAGCCCCTCAAGGTTTGCATAGAGTTCAATGCAAAACTGATTAAATAATGTTATTATTAGGGTGTCTGATCGCGCACCCAATGTTGTGTGCTAAAACCCTTCCCATAGAGATTGTACGCTTCCCTATGTGGTCTACGTGCATTGCGCGACCATCCAAAATTGGTCAATGATTTTATGAAAAAATTTGAAATTCAAACCTTTATAACAAATGATCCTGAAGGTGAAACTCAATAAATGAGGTGTCATATGAAAGAGCAGGTTTTTCTCCATATTCCCCATCGGGGGCCACCCCCAGAATTCTAAAAATATCTTGGTCAAAACAGCGATTGAAATGTTGTTTGCATCCTAGCTCCAAAATTTGCCACTTTCCTGAGCTGCCGCCCCGCGGCTTAAGCAGGGCTAGACGTAAGGATAATATCCAGATGCTTTTTTTTTCGCTAGCCCCAAGGGATCATTTGTTATAACAGTTTGAAAATATCCTTCCCACATTTTTGGAATCAGCTAATTAGGGAGGCGTGAGCTCCGCTCAGTCCAAACCATGGTTACATCGCGTAACATGTGCGCTTATAGTGAATGAAAGTATGGGTGGCCGTTCCCCCCATAGAACCCGGAAGTGAATACACGTTGTAGTCAATGGCAATATCGCGGAGAGTTGTCTCCGCGATATTGCCATTGACTACAACGTGTATTCACTTCCGGGTTCTATGGCGGGAACGGTAACCCATACTAGTCAATGGCACATATCGCGGAGACAGCGTGGCTCAAGCTTGCAAGTCGCGCATTGGCTGAGCAACTTGCGTACGAAATGCATACGCTTGCATATCGCGCGATACAGCTGTTTGGCTAAATTTAGCAAAACAACATAACTCTGCGTGTACGTCTTTTTCGTCGATTCTGAGCAAAATGCTATGAATATTTCAGCGTTTTGAATGGGCTGTATCTTTTGATAGAAACATCGGCGAGACTTGAAATTTGAAATGTATTATTCTGATTACATTTTTAATTCAAATATCAAACAAAAATGGTGAAAAACGATCCCAAATTGAAAATTGAAAAATCGTTCAGACACCCTATTATTATCATGCAAGCAAGCTTGAAAAGTAGCCCCCAAAATCAGTAGGGGCGGAGAATAAGGATCGTCTTCATAAACGAAAATTGTCTTTGTAAACGCGGACCAATGCGTCCTCAAAACCAAGGATCGTCTGCAAAAAAGCAGATGTTCCATATTTTTGATCGGCACATTGGCGATGCAAAAAACGGATTCCGGGATGATTTTCTTGATGCATTTTACATTGACTTTGTACAGAGACCTTCACTGAACATTATGAGCAATAAATCCTTGGGAAGACGGACAACCCATAAAAGAAGATGGTCAACTACTAGAACTAGGGTTATTTTCCCCTGGGGAATCCAAATTTGGCATTGCCAGCAGGCGGTTCGGTAACCTGAAACCCACAGAGCGCCGATGAAAAAAAATGTCCACGAAAATGCAGACGATCCTTGTTTATGAGGACGCATTTTGTCCGCGTTTATGAGGATATCCACGTTTATGAGGACGATCCTCATTCTCGGACCAGCGCCCCTACTGAAAATGTTTTTAATAATTTTATCTGACTTCAAGTTCAAGTACAAGTCAAACTTAAACTAGACTAGCTACACTAGAGACACTGGTCATTAAAGGCTGGGAACATACTGTTTTCAATCGCTTGGATTTCTGAGATTTGATGTTGCTGTGTGGTTAACAAAAAAATCATCTCTTACATCTTCATTCCAATCAAACATAACTGCAGAATTTACATTGGTGACTTCATAGTCTAGTTGTAGTTGCAGGTGACATCAGAAGAAAATTGATTAAACAGAAATTCCATCCTGAATTCCTGATATCTAGAATTATACCCCTTTCATATCGGCCTGATTTTCATCGGATGAAACGACCCCTATGAATGGTACAGAGAAGAATAGCCAATAGAAAGAAGAGAAATAGGCGATGAAATTCTGATCAAGAGCAGGAGAAATTCTCTTTCTATCGGTGTGATATGTGATCATAAATCGTATAAGGATGTATGACTTCAAAATTTACAAGAAATGTATGTATTCTTTTGATTATTAATTTCCCTTCTCTTTCTTTCTTTTAGACCACTCCAAGCACCAAGCACGGGATGTCTGTAGAGCTACATACAGAAATCACAATATGAAATATGTGAGCATGGTGTAATGCTCCAGGTTTAGCATATTGATAATGCCACCATTGTGCTAGGAGAGTGTCAAACTTAAAATAGGATTCTTCAAAGATGTTCAGAAGAAATAGAATGACCAAAAGTTTATATGAAAGCAGATTTCAGTTTGGAACAGTGCAATCTAGTAGACATTAACTTTGGGGATAAACATATGCTGTGACATCATGGCTGACGGATTCTGTCAAGCATTGCTGCGTATTTCCATGGCTCAGATCTGCCAGGAACTAGGATGGCATTCCATACATTCAACCCCATGTGACCTTCTGACTGATGTCTTGCAGAGGTACATCCAACAACTTGCCACAGTCTCCCACTGTTATGCAGAACAATGTAAGTTCTCTCTTCTAAAAGTGTATTGTTTCATCACCACAGCATTGGTATTTGGGATGAAATGATTTATTTATTTATTGATTTATTTACTTATTTAATTTTCAGGCGAGATGATAACATACAAAACATCACAAGATTATGTTGTTTTATGTGTGAAGCCCAATATATCTTGGAAATTACTACTAATTACTGGTGTTCCATGAGCGCTAGGTATTAAAACATTTCACTTCCATTCAAAAGTAATGGCTTCAGCAATTATTTCTTTTTGGTGCAACTGAGATGCATTACTTGTTACAAGTTGTTAAACTAGTTGCTGGGACGTGGGTGCCGCCTGTGTCAAGCCCATGGGAAGTAACCCTGTAAGTTGGGGCTCTGATCGGATCGGAAGATCGGAGCGACACCCTCGCACCTTTGATCGGTATCGGATCGAAAGATCAACAAAAAAAATTGGCTGTTTTTTTTTTAATGACGAAAATTTTCAAGTTTTGGGCTATCAAATGCTCAAAAAAAATCATGGCTGGAATTATTTTGTCATTTGGAGTTGTTGTAGACCATGTTTGTTGATATTTGGTGCCTTTTCATGAATTTAAAATTAATAATATTGGTCTAAGAGCAGAGGCAAAACATGCGGGCCGCCATCTTGGATTATAATGTAGGTATGCATTATAATCCAAGATGACGGCTCATTTTAATTGATCGGCGATCGGAAATTATTCTCCGATCACCCCTGATCGGATCGGTATCGGCATCCGATCTGATGATTGTTTACAGGGTTAATGGGTAGTACAGAATAAGTTGTCTTTGGGTTGAATATGTTTTTGATATTGCAATTTATGCAGATATATTGTGACAGTTAAAATGTTCATGATAGTCAAAATTGTGAAAATTTGTATTTTTTCGAGCATTTTCTAGAAGTTCATTTCAAATGTAGCATGACAACCAAATCTTCACATTTTGTGATGATCACTCTATAGATGGAAGGACAGAGCCCAACGTGGATGACCTTGGCCTGACCTTCAGACAGATGGGAGTCAGTCTGTACGAGCTAGAGAACTACATCAGGGATGTGGATCCTATCCCGTTTAAGCATGACATCCCTCAGTTTCCTTTGCGTAGACAGAATGATCTCCAGCACCCTAAACCAGGGAGCAGGGATGACAGGGAGAGGCTGCAGTACATCCCCGCTCATCTACCACCTATCATTGGGTTGTCTGATGGTGAGTATGGTGTCCGAGAGCGATCTGACCTCTGTGGCCACATTTGCTCCAGGCTTTACTTTAAGAAAGATATAGGGTTCGGGTTGATATTGTGTTTGAGAGTAGGTTTTTAAAAGCTTTTTACCAAAATTGCTTCTAGGAAGGGGTGGGCCAGGGATATGTTCAGTTGACAATTTATGTTGTTTGATACAGACATAAATGTACTTTATTGAGACATTGCTCAATCATCTGTGATTTAAAAAATGCAAGGATTTCTATAAACATACTATGCATATTTCAAAAGTAATAACAATATTTCTTGAGGATTAAGGAATGTTAATCAATCGATGACTAGCCTTTACCACTTCCACCTCAGTTTCTTCTAGATACAACCATTTCATGCGTCCACTTGTGTTCTTTCCAATGGACAGTTTCACGCCACGCATCTTCTGTACCGTGGTTCTTTCTGTTCTCCTCAAGTTACCCTCTTCTACTGTCTTCACATTCAAAGTTTCATCAGTGATCTAACAGAAACCTCATAGACTGATCATATACTGTATATGCAATTATAAAGCAATAATTTATGTGTTTAAAAAAATATTAATTCATTACACCATTCAATGTGTTAGAAATAGGAATATAGCTTAATACTGCAACTTCCGTTTTATCCTGATTTTAGTTGTTATATTAATCCTATACATTTATATTCACCCCCTTGTCACATTCTTTCTCTTCAGACTTTGGAGCACCCATTGGTCATCACAGAGATAGCATCATGTCTGTATCGATGGACACTGATAGTCCAGAGTCTAGGCTAATCTCACCCATGGGAGGCAGCCATACATCTCCTAGGGGCGAGAAGAGAGACACCTCTAGTCCTCTGTTCAGTGATCAGGCCATGAAGAGGCTCCGTCTGGATGGGGATGGCACACCGCAGGAGCTCACAGCAGTGCTGATTGGCATTGGAGGAGAGCTTACTCCAAAGAGAGAAGGCAAGCTTCCCATCGCCACTACACCACCACAACGTGTGCTCAAAGCTGCCTTGGGTGGGGATGGAACTCCTATCAGAGCCAACAAGGCTATAACAGATGGACTCCTTAATCGATCAGAGGAAACAATCGTTGACAGGTTGCAACAGAAATCTCCCAAGGGAGTCAAGAAGACCACAGCTGAGCCAAAGTCTCCTAAATCGGCAAAGCCAGCAGCGACGCCAAAGCAGAAAACTCAAACAAAGTCTTCAATGTTTTCTCCATCATCCAAGTACCCGATAGTGAAGTCCAAGACCTCTGGCACACCAGGGATTGGAGATAAAGCCGGAGAGTTCCTTTTTCCTCCACCAAAGAGTCCTAAGTTGTCTAGTTCAGCTAACAAGAAACAACAGGAGAAGCTTCAAGAAGCTGTGAAGAAAGAAAAAACAGTGCCATCTGTGTATGACTTTGATGATGATGAGTTTGATAGTAAACCATCAAAGGACCCTACACTGTCTCCATCTGATGCTAAAGGATCTTTCAATGATCCCTTGTCGCTTGATGCAGATATTGAGCAATCAAAGAACCCTTCACAAAACTCAGATAGTTACCGTGGAAAAAGTGATGTGGTCGCAAAGGCCAAGCAAGACAGAGACAGGAGTTTATCTCCACTCAGTGAGAATCTACTCAAATCTAAGAAACCTGAGAAGGATAAGAAAAAGTTAGGAAGTAAGGACAAGTCAAAAATAAAACATAAACTGAAGAGCAAAAAGAGTAAGGATGATGTACAGAGCTATTATGATTCTGTTGGATCATCGGACAAGAAGCACACCACACCTAAAGCTGTGAAGAGGAAAAATTCATCGTCAACAGACGGGAAGACGCCAAAGTTGGTCATCAAAACAGAAAGGAAAACTTCTGGAAATGATGAGATGAGAGTGATCAAGAAGAAATTCAAGAAAGTCAAAGAAAAGGACAAACAGAAACAGCTGAAGGTAAAAAAGCTGAAGCAGAAGAGCATTGATATAAAGATAAAATCCAAAGCTTCAAAGCATGGCATTGCACCCAGTTCCATGAAACCACAAGAAGACTCAAGTCCAGAGAAACGTCTACCAATTGGAAAATTGAGTCTCATCAAGAGTGCTGGCTCCAAACTTCAATTCAAGATTGCCGTTCCACAATCAGAGAAGAAGGATGTGGTTAAAGAAAAGTCTAGAAAACCAGATAAGGCGAAGATTTCAGACAAGGAAAAGCCTAAAGTGAAGAGACTGAAGACCAGCTCAAGTGAGTTAGACTCTTCAGACAGAGAGAAAAAGAGCTCCAAGGACAAGAAAAAGACTCCAATATCTAAGGACAAGAAAAAGGAATCATTTAAAAAGGTTGGTTAGTTCTTTGTTGTTTTTTCTAGGTGAAAAACATCTCCCTGAAAAATGTTCTAAGTTTATTCCCTTCATCGACAATGAAATAAATATAAACATTCATAGATATGATATCTGTCTTTAAAAACCAGTTTCTCCATTTGAAGATAATTTTTATACAATTTTTACTGTACTACCAGTAATTATTTTAGAACACTGGTTGTGATGTATGTGTGAGTGATATATACTGTATGTAGGTCTGCAGAGAAATTACGAAAAATAATACATTCTCCCTTTCCATTTAATTTGTTGTTCAGGATAAAGAAGAGGTGGTGTCCACGCCAACTATCCCCAAGATCACCTTCAAATTGGGTGCTGCACCTGCTGGAGGGGATACCCCCAAAATGTAAGTATTTGATGTAAATATTAGTAAGTTTAGGTGCTAGTCTATATGGAAATTAAGCAGGGCTCTCATGCTTCGTATCGGTGTCAAATTCAACGCATGCTTTGCATCTCTATTAAGGCTGTGCACAACAGTGTAATGAGGTACCCGAGTACACTCCCATGCTTACAAGCGAATACTCGAGTATTCGGACGCCATGTTTTTTTGAATTTTTTTGATTTTTTTTTTTTTTTTTGCCACCACCATACATACCACTGGAGCAGTATCCCAGTTCTGTCGCCGAAAACGCATGCAATTTTACTTTGAGTTGCAGTTGAAGGCGCCGATTTAATAATAATAATAACAGTGAACAATGCTGTTTTAAAAACCAAAGATGGCAGAATAATCCATTTTCCTCCAAGTCCAAGCAGAAATCCAGACATTTGGTCCCAGTTTCTGAGTGGTGAGTTTGACAGTGCTTGAGTTGGGAAACATTTTTACCGACGGCACCATGCCAGCGGCCGCCGCTCACCCAGGCACGGGTAAGCGTCGGCCTGGACATTAAAAAAAAAAAAAAAAATTGCGGCCGAATATTCGGGTACGAGAAATCGTACCCGAGTAGTTGTCAACCGTGCGGGTACTCGAGCATTCGACTACCCTTCACAGCCTTAATCTCTGTTGGATCACCATAGAAACATCACAATGTTAATTTCAATGGCCTTTATTAGCCGATGCCCAGCGTAGAACTGCCATACAAACTTTGCTTTATGAATCATTTCATCTTTAGTATTTAGTATTATGTTTCTTTAGTATTTCTCACTTTTCCTTCCTTCCTTGTCCTTTCTTCTTTCTTTTGCGCTTAGAAACATTGTATGAAGCACATTATAAATGTAATGTATTATTATTATTATTATTATCTTCCCAAATTACAAAAGTGAGAATCAAGCTACATAAAATGGGAAGGTTGAAATATTGTAAGTCTCCTGGGTCCTATCACTCCATGATGTCCAAAAGTCATTTTGCCTCTTTCTAGATTATAACACAATTTGTTACTATTCAATGAAATCAGCACAAACAGTGAAGTTTATGATGCCAATAAAGGGCTTCTCACATCTTCATACTAAAAATTGTTTGGCTTTACAAATCTGCTGCTAAAGAAATCAAGCCACTTGAATGGAACCTCCATTGAATTAGGCGTAGAAAATATTGTGATTTTGTTGATTTGGGAGGGAAAAAGAAACAGACTAGACAAAAAGATAAAGTTACAAATTTACGCTTTTTTTTCCATTCCTTTATATTACATTATTTCTTCAAATTCAGTAAAATTCATGGTAGAATGCATCAACCATAACCCCTATCCCCTCCAAAAACAAATTATAAGAGGATTATGCTTTTAACATGGTAGATAAATGTGCCTCTGGGAATATATGGATAATAAATTGTTCAGACTTGAAACAAGGAGAATTATGTTAAGTAGCAGTTTAAGAGTATACTACCTAACTATGATATCTATTCCTGCAGTGAATTCATTCACAAAACAAGACTTCCTTTATATGAACTTGTCACTTGAATGTTCTCAAGGAAAGGATATGTAGGGATGTTGTTTAGAAAACACATTTTCATCAACAAATCGTAATATATATCAATTGGCTCTTCCCTACTCTCTATTCCTTATTGTGTTCACAGTGTCATCAAGACTACAACAGCACCTCCACCAAGTGTCTCGACTCCCACAGTTCCCAAGCTATCCATTTCTGTACCAAGCAAGAAGAGCAAAGACACATCCAAGTCATCCTCCAAATCAGTCGCTTCACCCAAGACTGAGCCAAAGTCCAAAGGAGAAAGCAAGACAAAGACAGACTCCAAACCTAAGGCAGAGTCGTCCAAGAAAGAGAAAGTTGAAACCAAGCCGAAAGCTGAGACCAAATCATCGAAGACATCGAAGAAGATAGAGAAGGAGCCTGAGAGAGAGACGGAGAAGGTGGAGAAGGAGAAGAAGGTGAAAGAAAAGCCAATAAAGATCAAGGTAGATACCAAGCCTAAGGCAGAGGTATCTCCCTATGACTTTGATGCTCCATCGCCACCACCACCGACCATCAAGGTGAAGAAGGAGTCATCATCCACCCCTGCGAGGAAGGAACCTGTTCCTGGTATCTTTGCCCCTTCAGTGCCATCCCCACCACCAAGCAAGTCATCAAGCCCTGCTACTCCTAGGTCCTCCAGCAGGGCTGCAGCTCCCAGTTCACCAGCTCCTCAGAAATCTAAACAAAAGGTAAAGGAAAAGCTGTGACGAGTGAAGTAAAATTTATTGCAAGATATATCTCTGGTCTTCTTGGGGTTTGATTTTTTAAAGATATGATATAATAAGTAATGTAAAGTAAACCAGTGTTCAAACTTCTACTCAATCCTGTTAACACAAAAGCAAGGTATCTTTTTTCCCCCTTTTAATTTCACTACAATGTTCAAATTGTACTCTTTTGTGTTCAAGATATTTAGGTATTTCCTACCCTTTTTCCTTCCCGTTTCCGGCCCTGTCCAGATACTAGAAGTTACATACCAAATGTACCGATCCAGGTACACTCAAGGTTTTTTTTCCCACCAAGTCCTGGCACTACATGATAAAGACATCTAAGGATGCAAACTCTGCTCTCACTCAAGACTAAACTATTTGTCCTCACTATTTGATTTATTTTACCACAATGTACTTATGTTTCTTTTGTCCATCTCCTTCTGAAACAGGCAAGCACTCCAGCTCCGACCCCACCTCCAACCAAAGCAGCTCTCAAGGCACTGCCTCCATCAGCCACCAAGGGCAGCAAGGCATCCAAGCAAAAGGACAAAAAGAAGGTTACTCAGAAACAGAAGGCTGCTCCTCCACCTCCTCCTCCAGAGCCAGAGCCAGAACCAGAGCCAGAGCCTCCCAAGCCAAAGGCTGATGGACCTTGTATCCTCATCGCAGAAACAGCAGGAACAGTTGTTGTAAGTCTGTTTATTCATTACATTGATTTATTTGATTGTCCATGCAAAGTAACCATTACTAATGCAATGTATGGATAAATGAAGGGATAGACAAGAAAGAAATCAATTAGTTTAAAGTCTGAGGAATGCCAAATAGAATTGTGAAACTCATAAAATGCATTCCTCTTTGATAAGTGATACAACACATAAATAAATACATTAGTTAGTTTTCCCAGGGTTTGAGAATTGAAAGTATATATGTTAATTTATTTTCTTTGCTTCTCCTAAAACTAATTTTATTCTCCTACCATAATTTAAAAGTGTTTAAAGTTACATTACGCAGAATATATTATAAGAAAATATTATATACATGTATTTCCAGTGAAATAGAATCTTACCGAGCATTTTGTCACTAAAAAATCCTAAAATTGTGACTCTAAAACAGGAAATTCTCAAATGTAAAATGAGGTATAACTTGTCATATGGCATGTTACTAATCTGATGCGAAGAGAGAAGAATGTCCAGTCCTAGTGTATGTTACTTGAGAGAAAAGGGCATTTCAAGTATGTTGTGTATTTCATTCACTCTGACCCACAATGTTTTGTGCAGGATGACAACAGGAGGATTAGATCTCTATAGAAATTTGTGAAGGGATAATCAGATTGTTCTAAAGCCTTGGCATACCAATTGCACACACCCTGTTCCGTATTTTGTCCAGCTATCAATTTAACAGCTTACTCAATTATCAAGTTATGGAAGATAAAAATGGGACAAGTTATTGTTAAGATACGAAAACTACAACAAACTCAAAATCAGTTCAACATAGGTCTATAAAGTATAAACACTGCCAAACTTACAATTTTCTGTATAGATTGTTTAGTGATTCCAAATTCTATAATACCGGTGCAGAAAAGAAAGTATGCTCTTTCAGGAAATGCTAAAATTTGACCATGCTGACCAAGTACACCTTCATTGAGCTCTGGCTGAAAATCACACCATGGAACCTTTTGTGGTTTTGTGGTGCCTGGACCCTGGTCACCAATACTTCTTATGCTTATTTTTGTTATCACTTCTTTTTGACAGAATGAAGATGGTGAGAAGATTTGGTATTGTCCAGCCTGCAAGAAAGCAGATGATGGCGTCCTGCCAATGATTGGTTGTGATACATGTGATGATTGGTACCATTGGTAAGTCATTCAACTCATTTGATTGTGTGATCTGGTGACCATTGTTATTTTCAATGCTGGTCAGATTCCTAACTTAAAGGGATAGTTAAGTTCTGTTTGCAGACTGCCAAAAGTGCAAATGCCTTCATAGTGCATGGTTATTGCTTTTATTCCTATCTATGACGTTTCTAGTGCCCTTTTAGGACCTAAAATTGCTTTGAAGGTAATTTTAGACCGCGAAATGGGGGAAATTTAGCCAATATGATCATACCAATTCAGCTCCACTTTGAAAAAAAATATGGTGACCGTTAATTAATGAATTAATTAATAATAACAATACATGGGCCGGCTGGTTGTGCGTAATATAACAAACACAAAAAAGCCAACAAAACAGCCAACATCGGCATTGGCTGAAATACAACGTAGAAAGGCGCTATTTCGTTTTTTCAAGGCTGGTTCAAATTATTGAATATTTATGGTGTTACACCAATATTAAAAATCATTATATTTATAGATTTTGTCAGCCGTCTCTGAACCGATTTTGATCAAACAAAGATGATTTTGTCATTTAAATTGTATGTTCTTTCAAATTTGACAATCAGTTTTTCATTATCTCACAACAAAAATATTTTGTGTAGCGCCCTCTGCAACAGAACTCAACTATCTCTTTGAGTCATTGACCAAAACTTTATCCTATGCCAGATGATAATAGTAATAATAATATATACCTCTTGTGTAGTGCGCTATCAATCTAGTAAATTATGCTACCTTATTCCGTACTCTAAATGTAGTCTAAAACTCAATTGCCACCCAAAAGCTTACCCTACATCATTTAGCAAGTGTTGGATTACCAGTCATCTCCTCCCCCTCTCTCTTCTGTTCTGCTATCGAAGATAATGTGTGTACTTGAAATATGCACTTACAATGTTGATTGTGATCAACTCTATTAAAGATGTTTTAAGCTTTAAAGTTTACATAAATATTTTTTTTTGTATTGCTTTATGAATTGCATTTATTGCCAGCATTGTTATTTATAAAGTTTTGATACTTTTTCTATCAGAATCGCATTGATCTTGAAAAAGATTTTCACATATTGTTAACACCAGAAAATCATTATTAATATCATCATTATTTTCATTGTTATGAAAAATTATCACAGTATATATCAGTTTTGTGGTTCCTGCTTCAAATGCTACTAATGCTCCTCCAAAAAAATGTGAACAACAACAGTAAAAGACGGACATGATACTTTTAGTATGTGTAGGACTGTTATAGAAATACATATATTGTTAATAAAATGATATTCATAATTTTGTTCTTGCAGGGAATGTGTCGGAATAACAGAAGAACCATCAACTAATGACTGGTATTGTAAACGATGTCAGAATAAATCCAAAGGCAAGAAGAAGAAGGGCAGAAAGAATTAGATCCATCAACTGTCGAGCTGTTGAAGGAGATGTTTGATGTTCCTTAACCATTCTCAATATGCTATATTTCAGTTGTTCTTATGGAATACAAACTTGTGTTTCAAAGGAGCTCTGTATCGACTGTAATTGCAATTTTACGGGAAAAAATGACAAACAAAATACAGGTAGTCATTTAACTGAAGTGGATTTTAAAGCAATAGGTAATTAAATAGAAAGGAGTCCTCAGACTGCCCCCAAAAATGTAAAATTAATTTCCTGTATCTGTATTTAAAGATGAACTCCAGTACTGGTAAAAAAAAAATAATAATTCTCACAGAATCAAACGAAACTTACACTGAATGTTCAAGATTACAAATAAATGACATGTGCCAAACAATTTTGGAAGAAAATGTATACTGGCTGAGTAATGAGCATAGAAAGACAAGGAAATCAAGGTAGTACTAGCCCTGACACCATGTGTGTTGTCCCATATATAGCTTTCTATGTGAGTGCTTGTTACTTTACCAAGACTCGGTCAAATTTATTATGATTTTGATGACTACAGAACCTTGCAGTGCACACCAATACTTACATGCTACATGATCAACTGTTTCTGATCCTTTCCACACCTTTTCTTTCACAATGTAATCGCATTACCAGTACTAAAGTTTATCTTTAATTACAAGCAACTTTGTGTAATAGGATTTGCCTCTGCTTAAAATGTGCAAAAACATGACAGGAATTCAAAAGTGAAGGAAAACAAAATGCAGTTAATAAATATATCATTACCATTTTGCCTGAATATTGAGGGGAGCCTTGCTAGATGGTTTGTTTAATTTTCCTTTGTGCCTGACTGCTAAGAAAGCATGTGTATGCTTGTTAGCATTTAGCAAACAGGGGCTTGAGGGCTTAAAGTCCTCTCTGAGAGACTTGGTAATGGGGATTAATGCCTTACCAAGGGGCACTAAGCGCATCGACTTGGTTTCAAATCTGGGACCTTCAGGTTTGAGACCAGTAAATACTGACAGATGGATTCTACGTTTTTTAATCTTGCAAATGTAACCCCCCCCCCCCCCCCCCTCTCTCTCTCTTTCTCTTTCTCTCTCTCTCTCTCTCTCTCTCTCTCTCTCTTTCAGAAATTTGCAAATATTCTAACTCACATGGGATTGGTATAGTGTAGATATTCTTTATTTATGTGCTCTATGAGCCTGAAACCTAATCCTGCACTATATTGTATATAATCCAAGTACCAAGTACCCATTTACTACACCACCTTTAAAAAAAATTAATTTGTTTTTGTTTTTCTTTCTTCTTAAACAATGTTAAGATTCCTCTCTAACCGTAATATACCTGTAATTCTATTTTATAACATTTGAATTGAGCAACTTTTCTGCACCGTTGGCAACATTGTTGAAAAAAAGATATAGAAGAACCTTATTTTTATATGATTGTATCATTATGTCTTTTGATAAGATTTGTAAATTTTATTCAGTCACAAACAAGGCTTATCATGAGCATGCACTACCGATTGACCAGCTCTTAAGTAAATTTTACCTCCTCATACCGTAATCAACTTCTTTATACCTTGTTTTGCTTCTAGTCTGAACGATCCTTTTATTTAACGATGTTTTTGTCATTATTTTTTATTTTACTCATGATATCACAGGTAAAATTACTTGGATACTGGGGGAAATTTAGAATTGTATCACTATCACCCCTCCCTAGTCATCATCTCCCCCTTTATTTCTGTATACTTTTTTTTTATTGAAGTGTAGTACAGTTTTGTGTTTCAGAGTTCAATTATATCTGCTGTAATGTCTGTCTTGTAAATATTATTGTATTATCTGTAAATAAATATTCATTATGCATAAATGGAATGAATAAAATAAACAAGGAAGTATAACAATGAAGTTGCAATTGTCTTACTGTTGTAAATTTTACTTTTTGTTGATTTACTGGTCAAGTCAGGATAATAAGATGGTATTGAAATTAAAAACACAACAAGTATTGCATATCAATTTTACATATCAATTTGCAATAATTCAATAATTGTGGGTGCACTGTGAGGGCAGAGGAAGTATTGCATGTTCCTGTAAAGAAAAGAAGATAACTTCCTTCTGACTTTTAACTTTAAAGGGCAATCCAACCCTTGTTATATTAAAGGTATTACAAAGTTTTGGTATGGGGTCATGAATTTGGTTCAAATTAACATATTGGAAGCATATGCGTTCCTACGATATTCATTGATCGTTTTCGCGGTTGAAATTGAGTCTATAAATTGTAAATAATAAACTCTTTATGTTGTATAGCTCCCTCTCAAGGTCAAGATATTAATTTAGCTATGAAACAATGTTTCTTGACTAAAATCGACCAATTAGCTATTCGGGTTTGGAAATTATATATCACAACTACATATTCTGAGATTTTCATGGTCGCAGCTACCATCATACGGCCATAGGCGTTATTTAAAATTTATCAAAATTTACCGGGAGCACCGGTAAATTTTTATATTCGATTTTTCTCGAAAACAGAAGTGTTTTAGGCGCTAATTCTTTTGGAACTTATAATACATCCACAGGGGCGTCCAAATATATCAAAATTGTAAAGATTCACTATCCACCCAATTTTCAAAATTTCCCAAACCTTTGTATTACCTTTAAAGTTGATTTGCTTGAAAACAGAAAAATAACAGAAACAGAATGGCAAAATTTGGAAATGAATCGGACCAATAGTAAGGAAGTTATGGATGTTTCAAATATGAGATCACTAAGTCTATGCGAATCTCAAATTGGTAGTTCAGTCAGTGGATGTGATGTAGGACGTAGATAACTCTCCCATCTGCCGTGTACACAAATGTTATTAATTTCTGTTTTTCTTGTAAGTTCCTTCACCCTTGGGCACTACTCAACATATATTATAGATGGCATATTATTATGTCCTCTAAAAAGAATAGACCCTCCTGAGCAATGGATTTTTGCAAAAATGTTGGTCATTTTATATGTTGGAACCATAGAGATATATACTACTTATTAAGTATATATCTCTATGGTTGGAACAGATTGGAAAATAGTCCGGCACTACATCACATTGACACTACCGCTTCAGCCAATTTGAAGTGCCCATACGCATAGTGATTACAAGTTTCAAAATATATTACCTTCTTATATTGAAACAGATATATTTAATTGAAACTTTCATCAGTTTGCTTCTCTGATTGTTCTGCCTTCTTTAAGAGTAGTTGTCTATTTGGGTAGGATTTCCCTTTAATTGAAAGTCACTATTAGGTAATACTATAGTGAATAGTGACCAAGTTGGTTTTATTGATAAGCCCATCAAGAAGCTCCATACAAGTTGTGACAGGCACATAAAATCAGGCCATCTTTAAATTCCATTACGGAATTATTAAAAATATATTCAATTCATGTGAGGATCTTATCATTTAAATTTAAAAAGAAAATTTGGAATCTTTGTAAAACAAAACTAAAGGACAATTGCATTTCTCTCTAATAACATATTGTATTTTGCGTATCAGGAGAATTAGCCCCTAGACAATCGCCTCTGGAAAATTACCCCCCCCCCCCGAAAAAATTACCCCCAAATCAAGGGACAATTACCCTCAAGGACAACCCCTCCCCCAGGACAATTACCCCTCGGAAAATTTCACACGTTGACAACTTCCCCCAGTATCCTGTACCCTGAAATTAACCCCTAGGACAATTACCCCCCCCCCCCCAGGACAATTACCCTTGTTGACAATTGCCCCCCCCCCCCCCTGTTCAATAAAAGGGAAGTACACCCTGATAATAATTAAGTTTTAATAAAAGCATTTTTTCTTTCTTTTTCGGTTGGGTATTGTCCAAGGAATATTTTGTATTGAAAGATTGCCCATAATGCAGACGTTATATCTTCTCCTTTTTCGAGGGGGGGGGGGGTTTTAGGGTCAAAGTTTTAGGGTTAGGGTTAGCAACTGTTAGTGCAAATGAGTTTTGGGTTGTGTTTAGGGTTATGGTTATGTGTATACTGTTGGGTCGGGGATTGGAGTTATGATGGAACTGACCGCAAGGTCATGTGTCTATCGCCACTACCCACAAGTATGATTAATTATTGATACGGCTATCGGAATTCCGACGTTTTTTAATGTCAATATTCCAATCTCAGTATTGTACACAAAGCGATAAACTTCAAGTGATGCAAGTTTCCTCAGAGTAATTTATTACTCCACTGTAGTTTGATACCCCAGTCACATCCATACAAGAAAGACGCCAGACCTACAATTGACCGAAAATATACGCTGTTGCCAATAAAGTTGGAATAGATTTATCTTACCTCTTAGGCTCTTTCCATGGAACGATTGAGACAATATAATTTATTCTCGATAGATGAAACTCGGAGAAGATATGAATTTATTTATCAAAATAACTCATATTTATTTGCACAATTATTTCATGAAAAGAGGTAAGAAAAAATAATTCTAACTTGATGGGCAACAGTGTATATATAACGACGAATTGCCCTAGCGGGATGCTTTTTGAGAAGTACCTGTTTGGAGACTTTCAACTGAAGTATCACATCGAAATTTGATACGGCATTTATAAAATGCCTTTCTTTAGAGTCGTTTCTCTTTTCTCTCCTCTCCTCTTCACTCTCCTCTTTTCTTTTCTTTCTTTTATTTATTTATTTATTTATTTATTTATTTATTTATTTATTTATTTATTTATTTATTATTATTTTTTTTTTGGGGGGGGGGGGGTCAAATTCCTCCATTTTATACTTCCCCTATATCATTCAATTCTTTTCTGTCATCTACTATTTATCATTCCACTTTCCTCTGTACTTTGTGTTGTTGTAATTTGATTGATTCGTTCGCTTTTATTATACTATTCAATAATTTGATTGATCATTGATTGATGTCATCATGTCGCCTTATAATATTTTGATATTTTAAAAGACAAGTTCCAATACCGTTTGGAAGTACAATGTATGTGACAAAAGGGATATGTATGATACATATGGTGATGAATTACGAATTGAAATATTTCCAAATAATTAACAGTTAATTGTTTTGTCAAATATTTCGTTCGATCGTGTTTAGTTACTACATGACTTTATACACTGCGTTTAAAAATAGGTTCACAGTATGGAAAAAGCATCCCTAAATCAATTTTTCTAATATATCAAAAAACGGTCTTAACTGTTATAGTTAAGGGACAAGGGTCTCCTCTATCAGATAAAGAAGCAAAAATCTTACAATATTTTATACTTTAACTTAGCAAAAGTCTCAAAATGTGAACGGTTGCCAAGAATTGGGAATATAATTGATTTTTTAATCGATTCATTGACTGGCTGACTTATTGATTTGATTGATTGATTGATTAGAATGGTTGATTGTTTGATCGATTGATTACTTGATCTTTCTTCAGGGATCAACCTTCATGATAATTATTAGTTTCTGATATCCAAAGTATACCGGCTCATATCGATATAGAGCCAGAAAGGTGTTAACTATGCATTGGAGTATCATTATATGAATTCCCTCCTGGCTCCAAACACCCTCTAACAAGTAAGATTTCAAACCTGTGCACTCCCAAAGCAGCACCATTGAAGCATACAATGTTGATGGATCTGCAGGGGCGGATCTAGGGGGCTTCGGCGGCTTAACCCCCCCCCCCCCCACCCCCCTTGGGCGGCCAAGTGAGAAAAAAAAAAAAAAAAAAAAAGAAGAAGGAAAAAAAAAAAGGGGGGGGAAAAAGAAGAAAAAAAGAAAGCAAAAGGTAAAACAGCGCTAGATCCGCCCCTGATCTGTCAAGACATACAATTTTCTAAATCCCGCTCATAAATTTCATCATCAGATTCTATTAAGCCTACACGACTCACTCTCGACTTTGTTGGTACCAGCAAGTCACACTCTTTTTTATTCATATTCTTATTGTTGTATCTAAGTTGAGGGCTGCGGGCACGTCAAGCTACTTTGCTTATTTGTAGCCCTCCTGTATTTAATGTGTGTTAATTATGCATTCAATATATTTGTTTAATTTCGTTTATTATTTGTATAAAATTATATACACTTAAAATATTGTATCAAACCATAATATGTTCATGAAAATGTATGATGAAAAAAAGAAAAAAGATGCAGAAACCAATAAATCAAATCAAATCAAATCAAACCAGAACATAAAGATCTCGCCAAATCTGGATTTTGCACCCTATCACAAAATTGGGTTTTGCACATAAAAAATATTGTCAGATTTTTTGGGGTACCATGTGAATAAAAGGACCATATAGCTTTATGGAAAGTCCCTGAATTTGTTTTTTAAACTCTTCGAACTTTATTCAGAGGCACTGAAGGGTTTCCGTATCACACGACACATAAACTGAAGGGTTTTCGTTCTCACTACAAATGCAGTGATTAAGAAAAACTCTTAATTTAATAATAACTAACAATAATAATAGTAATCATAATAATAATAATAATCATCATCATCATCACCATCATCATGATAATTACTATTATCATTATTTACATCAATATCATTATCATTATCAGGGGCGGATCCAGGAATTTCTTGCCGGGGGGGGGGGGCACACGGGGGGAGGGGGGAACACGGTGGGAAAGAGAACATATATATATATATATATTTTTTTTTAGTCCCCCCAAAAATCGCAACGACTCAGCTGAATAGCGGGGGGGGGGGGGGTAAGAGGACACTTTTTTCTTTTTTGGGGTCACGAAATTTTGCTCAGTGAGGGGGGGGGGTAAGGTCACCTTTTTAGTAGAGCCATTAGCATTTTTTTAAATTTAATTTTTTTTTTAAACACGTGCCCCCTGTGCCCCCCCCCCCTGGATCCGCCACTGATTATTGTTATTATCATTATTTATCACGATTGTCATTATGATCACTATGATAATTTGTATTATTACCATTACTATAGGAGTAGTAGTAGCAGTGGTATACTTGTAGTTGAGTCGTCGTAATATCATCATTATCATCATCACTACTATGCATCACTTTTCAAACGTCTTAGAAAGCTGCGGCCCCAACCCCCATCACTTCTTATACCGTCCCTGATAATTGCGGCCACAGAGATATTCTTTCATTGAACGAAGAGAGAAATATAGAGGGGGAGGGAGAAATAGAAGCAGAGAGATAGAGAGAGAGAGAGAGAGGTAGTGATAGACAGACAGACAGGCAGAGCCTGGAAAGGAACAGAGAGAGACAAACATAATCGGGAAAGAGACATAGAGAGAGAGAGAGAGAGAGAGAGACAGACAGACAGAGAATGAGGAAGAGACACACACAGAGAAGGAGGACAGTGAGAGAGAGAGAGTCAGAGAGAAAGAGAGAGAGAGAGAGACAGAGACAGAGAGACAGAGAGAGACAGACAGACAAACAGAGACAGAGAGAGAGAGAGGGGAGGGAGGAGGAGAGTGCGATCGAGAGATGAGAGGCTGGTTTGAGAGTGAGCGGGGAGTTGCTCGTTCATGAGTCATAATACACTAGACCACAAAAATGACAAATATTTCACCGATGGAATGTGCATTCACGATCATGTCGTCACGAGCAAAGAAGACTATTTATAATAACAAGGCGCTTGCATATGAAAAACATCGGTTGGTTTATCCAAACAACTTTACGAACAATATTCTTGTTCTTCTTTCCTCTTGTCAATTATAAAGCAAACAGTAATCCTTAAGCTACAGTCCCATATACGTCCCGGACCGTCCCGGACCATCCCGGACCCCATCCGGGGTGATCCGGGATTCGGTCCGTGTTGACACCGTGTTGGCACCGGGGTGGTCCTGGATGGTCCTGGATGGTCCTGGATGGTCCTGGATGGTCCTGGGCGGTCCGGGAGTCGACCCCGGATGTTTTTGACAGTCAAAAACTGCCGGGGTGGTCCGGGACGGTCCGGGACAATAGTTTGATCCGGGGTGATCCGTGTAGCCACCGTGCTGGGTCCGGGGTCATCCGTAGTGGCGCCGGGGCGGTCCGTGTTGATCCGTGGCAGTCCGGGAATGAGTTATTGACCGCCCAGGGCCATCCAGGACCATCCAGGACCATCCAGGACCATCCAGGACCACCCCGGTGCCAACACGGTGTCAACACGGACCGAATCCCGGATCACCCCGGATGGGGTCCGGGATGGTCCGGGACGGTCCGGGACGTATATGGGACTGTAGCTTTTAAAGCATCACACTTTTTTGAACAAAACATCCCGGACCATCCCGGATCACCCCAGACCATGGTCCGGGATGGTCCGGAGTGGTCCGTGCTCGTCCGTGCTGGTTCGGCTTTATATGGGACTGGGGCTTTACCACAGTTTTAGTAGTATCGTCTGCATATAGGACCTACTACTCATGACTAGAAAATCATCAAAACACCACCAACATTGTATTCTTCATGTTTGTGCAGGCATATTATTATGGCCTGTTATTGTTATTGTGTTAAATTCATTTTCAAACATTCTCTTTTACCAAATGCAGATGAACATTTAAGATAAATTAAAAAAAGAACCAAACAAAGCGATTTTGCTCATAGTTTATGGTTATCTTGCGGTGAAACTTGCGTAGCCGCTACGGCGTAGTTGCTTAGCAACTTCTCCTTCGTGATCGCGACATTTGAATGTGTAAATGGTCCTGTATCGCTGATTTACGACAGAACACGACTAACCAATGCCATGACGGGGCAGAGGGCACTTGCCTGCCCCCTCCCAATCGTATGACAACATGGAGAGGGGGAAATGCACTATAGGAGATGGTACACCCCTTCTAATTCCCAGGCGCGTAGCCAGGGGGGCAGTGGGGGCGGTCGCCCCACCCAAAAAGAAACGCTGGCCAAAAAACAAAAAAAAAGAGAGAAAAAAAAGAAGAAAGGAAGAGGACGTAGGAAGAAAAAGGATTAAGAGTCGAGAACGGTACAACGAATCGTCTTCTTTCTCTAATAATTTAATGAAACGTCTAAGCTTCCGCGCTTCGCGCGGGAGGGGAGGGGGGAACTGAATTCAGATAAGGATTACGAGTCGACAACGATACAAAAAATCGTCTTCTTTCTCTTTTAATTTATGAAACGTCAAAGCTTACGCGGGAGGGGAGGGGGGAAACTGAATTTAGACAAGGATTAAGAGTCGATCGAGAATGGTACAACGAATCTTCTTCTTTCTTTAATAATCTAATAAAACTTCAGAGCTTCCGCGCTACGCGCGGAGGCAGGGGAACTTGATTCAAACAAAGATTAAGAGTCGAGGACGGTACAGCGAATCGTCTTTCTCTAATGAAACGTCAAAAGAAACTGAATTTAGATAAGGATTAAGAGTCGAGAATGGTACAACGAATCGTCTTCTTCCTTTAATACCGTGCTCACTACCGCCCCCCTAAAATTAAATCCTGGCTACGCGCTAGCTAATTCCTTCAATCTATGACCTTGTTTTCTTGTGTTTGATGCCAATGCCGTTATGGTGTCCCGCATGTCACTAGGCCCCTTCAAAGCTATACCTAAATGGCTATGGCTATGCCGTTACGAGTGACGAGCTCATGAATAGACCATTTTCGTAATGTGACCAAATTTAATGCAAATTTTTTAAAATTGTATTGGGTACTCAAAAAGAACATAAAAGCCAACTGGCTATTTACAATCATGTACAAGAATATGACATGACAAAAACATCATAAATCTTTGTGAAGCGCGTCACTTTTACAAATTATTTCATTCACCTGATCAATAGACAAAATCCGAACTGCATATTAATTGTTGCCCATGCAGGTAGGACAAACATTATGACTTGACCGTTACCTAGCAACACTTAATGTATGCAGTTTGCATTCTGACTATTGAAATACTATTATTTTTATCAGCTGAATGAAATAATAATTATTTCAGAGACACTGCACAAAGGCTTTTGCATTAAATTTGGTTACATTACGAAAATGGCCTATTGATTCGTCGATGGTGGATCCGTGGCGGATGGTGGATCCGATGGTGAATGATCGTCCATCAGCATCGCACGTTGGTCCGGCCATTAGACACGGGGGGGGGGGGGGGGGGGGGGGCACTTACTCTATGTGTGAGATGCGAAGTACATTATTGTTTGATTCAGGAGACAATCCTACCATTTTAATTCCTTTTTTACATGCCCCGACCCCTATTTAATTTTCATGTTCTCTCTATTCACCTTTTCATTATCTCTTCTTCTTCTTCTTCTTCCGTTCTTCTTTTTCTTTCTTTCTTTCTTCAACTTCTTCTTCTTCTTCTTCTCCCCTTCTTCTTCTTCTTCTTTTTCTTCTTCTTCTTCTTCTCCCCTTCTTTTTCTTATTCTTCATCAGACTTCTACTCTTTTTCTCCTTCTTCTTTCTTCTTCTTAGTCACTCTGTTCTCCTTTTTCTTCTCCTTCTCCTTCTTTTTTTCCCCTTCTTCTTCTTCTTCTTCTTCTTCTTATTCTTCCTTTTCTTCTTCTTCTCTTCTTTTTTTCTTTCTTCTTCTTCTCTTCTTTTTTTCTTTCTTCTTCTTCTTTTTCTTCTTCTTCTTCTTCTTCTTCTTCTTCTTCTCTTCTTTTCTTCTTCTCTTCTTTTTCTTCTTCTTCTTCTTCCGTTCTTCTTCTTCTTCTTCTTCTTTTTCTTCTTCTTCTTCTTCCTTTTCTTCTCTTTTTTTTTCTTTCTTCTTCTTCTTCTTCTTAATTATTCTTTCTGTAGCCTATGACTAATTGACTCAGAGTATAATCATTATTTTGCCGCAACACAAATATACATAGATTTTTTTAGTTGTATACCAAGGCGTCATGGTTGTACATTAGTATAAAAATGGTCGGTCGTCCGTCTTGCATTGAAATGGGCAATATTGGCTGAATTAGGGGCAAGGGGTTTATAGGCTATTATCTGTCTTTTGAACTCGGCCTCGTGACAAACGCAAAAGCAAAAATATAAAATTACACAAACAAAAATAAATCATTTTGCATGCAAAGCGCAAGTGTGCTCATTTTGTCACTTATGCCGGTATATAGATTAGCAGGGTCAAAAAGGCCTATGTTCTGTACAACTTTTCATCCCATCCTTAGGTTCGCCCTAATTTCCTCGGAGGTAAAATATGATTTAAAAATAAATCAAACCACCAAAAATGTGTTTAGGAAAAAGCGGGTTTGGTTAACGGTAGGAAGGAAAACAAAGTGTTCCTAGTTTGTTTTTTCGCGGGCAACCATGTTCTTCCACCACAACTATTTATCACCAGAGATTCCAGCCATTTACCTTATGCGCATGCGCAGCACCGCTTTGTTCATTGCATTTGAAGAGCACATGGCGCGTACGTAAATGGATGATGTTCTTCGTTTATGTGCATGTTCTTCGAACATCCACAAATTATACATGAAAGTGTAGACCATTTTTGGAACCAATATATCCTCTATATTATTTAAATACTTTGGAATGTTTTGAAAACGCTGGCGTCATGGGTATTCATGGATTTTTGGATTACATCGAGCGGAATTGTCAGCAAGCATGCACGCGAGTGGACCTGGGACAACTCGCTCGAAAGCGACTAAATAACGCTGGAAAAAGGGGAAGAGCTTTGGTCGGACAAGATCCTTTATTGCTGGTAATTGATGCCAATAGCTGCCTTCATCGTCTATATGGCGGGAGCTTCACCGACTGGGTTTGTGGGGGCCAGTGGAACAGCATGTTCCACTTTATTGACAACTTGGCCAGGGCAAGCAGGAGCAACAACATGAAACTCATCGTTGTCTTCAATGGGAGTCTTGAGAAAAATCGGATTCCCGAGTGGTTGAAACAAGAGATTCAGACCAGAAATACCGTGGGACAAGTGTTAGGACATGTTCACAACAAAGGCACACCCCCTCCTAAAGCCTGGTTTACTCCTCCTGTTGCCTTAGGTACGTATAAGATTAAACAGCAACCTAAAACATCACATGTTTTTTCATCCTTCTTTTGCTTTGTTTTGGTTTGCAAGGGACCGCTGTGTGCGAGCTGAGCTCATTTTGTTCTCAATGCGCCGTGTGTTTTGTTTGTGTGTCTGAGCTGTATGTGCGCTATCAACGTCGGAGATTGGCAACCTTTTCTCCGAAGAACTTGCTTCAAAACATAGCTATAAAATTGTCTAGTGTGACAAGATTCCCTCAATATTTAAACCAACATCTATACATATCAATTGAAATCTATGTAAATTAATTTTGTTCGTATTTTAATCTCAGAATTGTTCTCAATTATGAGATATTTAGGATTAGTTTAAGGCTTGCCTATCGTGCTGAAAATACACTCGCGTAGATTTGTCTGTGAACAGTAAAATGTCTAGTCGAGATGCTGGCTGGTGAAGCCATGCGTGTGTATGGCTGCTTGAAAGCCGTCAGTAGCTGGTTTGACGTGCAGCCAGCTAGCTAGCTACACACAAAGACTGTCGGCTTGATTGCCCGAGCGACTTTACATGTGTAGCTAGCTCGCTGTAGCTCAGTCTAGGGTTAGAATAAAAACAGTTCTACGCGAGCCAGCTACCTAAATGTGCTTTGTCAAAATCTAGGCTTTGTCTGGGTACCTGGCATGGGCTTGCTTGCTGCATATTGAAAAGATTTATTCAGGGACTCGCACATGTTTGTGTGATTGTTTTGGTTTTCATTTTTTTTAGAGTATGATGAAAGTTTGCAGATTTGGCAATTTGGGTTAAATCTAGTTGGTCTACTTAATCAATGGACATTACTACATTTGTAGAAGATGATTTGTTTTGGAAGATTTATAAAAAAATGTTAGTTTTCAATTTTGCTGCCTCGTATTTTCTTGAAGTTGTTTAAAGAATTTGGTTGTAGAATCTATGTATGATTGAAATTATTGGACTTGGTATCAAACACATTTCTATTACCTCAATTTTGCTGCCTCGTATTTTCCTGAAGTTGTTTAAAGAATTTGGTTGTAGAATCTATGTATGATTGAAATTATTGGACTTGGTATCAAACACATTTCTATTACCTCAAGACTTGAACTAGAATAAAATTAAAATCAAAAGAATTATGCCAAAGCAGCCAAACCTACATCACATGTAGTGCCGTTGTGTAGTAATCACAGTGTGTCATATTCTATCAAGTCATTGGTCAAGGCAGGTCTCTGTTTATTTGTAGCAGAATTTCTTTCTTTCTTTTTTTCAATATTTCTTGTAATGATCATATATTTGTAATTCATTGTAAAATAAGTAATTAGACTAACAAAATATTTGACTAGTAAAGGAGCCACAATTATTAACTTCATGCGATAAAAGTAGAAGGATAAATGAAACAAATAATTGTAAAGTTGGAAAAAAGTAAGAAAAATATCACTTTTTTTTTAGGCCAAGTGAAAGTGGATCCCTACACAACTATAGTTTCTTGACCCCTCCCACCTCCTTTTTTAAAGTACATGCATATAAACATACAAGGGCAAATTTGAGAAATCTCAACTATGATGTGTACTATAATTTTGCCCTTTTTTGAGTATTTGTTGTGCATGAGTATTGTAACATGAAATTATGACATTGACTGAAGAAATGATCCTATCACTCTACTACATATGTAGGAATGGAACCATCATTTTCTCATTAAAATTCAGACAAGAAAATAGGAATCAAGAGTTTCCAAACAAAGGTATGAAGTTTTACACTCATGAGCAATAAAATTGAAATGGGCAATTCCATTTCCTTGATAACCATACCGGCACGTTGTGTGTCCAGAGACTCCAGACAGGTTGGTTATTAATCCGGACAGTTGATTTCAAGCAGTAATTTGCAGAAGATTACAAGCAATATTTCATAAATCTTGTAGTTCTTGTGTCGGACAATAATATAAAAGAATTATGGTGGATATTTAGCATGACATCCAAAGGAAGAAGGGAATGCCTTATTTTTGTTGAGTTTCCAGACACACAATACCCCAAGGACCCCATTGTACTATAATTATTAATGCCATTTCACAATTTGTCCTTATTTTTTTGTTTCTTGATGTTTCAAATGTACCCTACTTTCACATGGACTTTCCAGAAGTAGAGGAATGAATGCACATGTACATGTAGTTATAATATGTTTATAATGTAATTGAAATTTATAAATTAGTCACTCAGCAACAATGACCAAATCAAATGTTTTGCTTGATCAACAATGGCTTGACTTTCGATGAAGGTACTGTGTAGAATTGATTTACTGGTGTTGGTCAGAATGATTTTCAATTGGTAATAACGTAAAAAGATTCAAGAGAAACACACCAGTGAAAATATTGATGAAAATCAGATAAAGAATAAGAAAGTTATTAATATTTAAAGGTGTAATCATTGAAATGCATATAATTGGCAGCTCAGTGGTTTATATTGTGAGCATCTCTCCCATTTGCTTTGTATTGGTACTCCAAATTTCATATATTTGTTATGAAGAAATAAAACTTTTTTTCACAGCTCAAGATGTGTACAAAAATATATGTAAGGCACAGGTACAGTACAATGAGATTTTCTGTAGAAAATAGAAATACTGGTAGAGGTGCTTGCAAGGTACATGTTCATGTTCATCATATAGTTGCCAATTTGTGTATGATCAAGATTCTCTACAAAGTTTGACTGATCTGTCTCTTACATGTATGTTTACAATTTACATTTATGATGGAAGCCAGCTTGTTTTGATACCAGTGTGATTCTCACTTATAAGGAATTTTGAATTTTAGCAAATTTCTGACTAGTTAACTGAAACAAAAGTGCAAGTCAGCTCGTTGCAAGTAGTGTGATTAGTCAGTTTTTTTAGCAAGTGATAATTTGTAATAGAATAGCGCTGTTTTTTATTCTGTAATAAATTTGAATAGGTGAAAAAGTGAAATTTGAATACATTAATTGTACTTGTCTATTTACATACATTTGTATGTTCATACATGTGTAGGCTTTAATAGTTTTGTCCTCGAAAGGCCTCTAGTCAAAGTCAATGTTCATTGTCGGCGTACACAAAATTAAACCATGTTGAAATTATTTTCTTTTGTCATCCCCCCCTAAAGTGTAACTAAACTCAAACAAATCAGAACGTTGAAAAGGGCACAATGTACATTATACAGGCCTGATAAAACCCCGATTTAAATCGGTTTTCCGATTTTTTGTTGTTGATTTTTTCCTGATTTTTCCTTTTTTTTTTTTTTACCAGATTTTTTTTCCCTTCCCTATTTTATCCTGATTTTCCTGATTCCCCCCATATTTTCTCTATTCTTCCCTATTTTGCCCTATTTTTCCCCCAATTTTTCCCCCAATTTTCCCCAATTTTCTTACTCGAAAGGGGGGAATGTTGTTAGATGCCATTTTTTCCCCGCGAATCCTCTTCTTTTTTTTTTACTCAAGGGGGCCGTGGTTGAGGGAAAACAAAAAACCTTTTTTTTTTTTTAGTGCTCACTATCACCCCTGATTATACAAAGCGTGAGGTTTATAACTTTAGTTCTTGACTTAACAAATTTCTAACCGTGCATCATCGAAGTGGATTATTGCAGAACTTTTTGTTGAAATGATGCTAAACATGCTTCTTTAACTGACCCTTAAACCTACAGTGTATTTCATGGAGATTTCTTTTTTTTAATCAAGGCAGATTCTGAAGAAGGGATGAATTACATGTACATGCATACTCAGAAATCATGATTTTACAGTTTTGTTGACACCGTTACCTTACAAATATGTTGATGTCTGGGAAAATTCAAAATGGATTGACAAAGAAAAGTTTGGCAAACAATGGCATGAAACTTCATAGTTCATACAATTTTTTTCCTCCAATTCTTTTAGCAGGAACCCCTTGTGTGTTTGATTGTTATGCTTCTTTTATCTGCAAGATTACCCCCCATAGACCTGAAAAATTTACATGATAAAAGTCGATGAAAATTTACTGACAAATAACAAAAATTACAAGTTTCTCGTCCCTGCCCGCCTCCTTTTTGCTCGCCCCTCTATTTCTACTACCGGTATTTACTCTTCAGAATAAATGCACCTCGATGCACTGTACATTTTGTATAAATTCTAAGTCTTCTATTAGTTCTATAGCTAATTCAAGCTGAAGACATGTACATGTACATTAAATTCACTGTTTCTGAATTTTGAAATGTGCTTAGCAAGTGGACTAAAATGATACAAATCATTTGTTTTGTCATACATTGCATCAGTTTACTCTAATAGCACAACATCTGAATAAATGTACCTTGGCCAGCTATATTTAGCATGACACCATCTGGGAAAAAAGTTGAAAAATAGTAAATAGTAATGCCCTGTCTCCTCCTCTTTGAAAAATTCCGGACGAGAAACTCGCTATTTTTGTTATTTGGCCTACCGGTAAGACATGTGCAACGGCACAGCAACATTATATGACTTTGCGGCCGGGCAAGCATTCAACTAAGCATGGAACACTGATTCATCGTGAATCACCTTGGCATTTTGCCATGCCACTGTCTTTTTTTTCTTTTTTCTAGACACACTTTAAACTTATTTTTAATCTATTGAATTTATCATCATGACCATTGAATGTATGTAGACCTGGAGACCACCAGTAATGATCTGTTTAGGTCTTTTAAACAATGAATAATTATATTGCAAACCGTAATCTCTTCTACAGCAATCAAGAATTTAAAGCTAGAAAAAGTTAAAAGTACCCGACACTACCTTGTCGATCTGGCTACCTGACTACCTGTGTGGATTATATAAATTAATTAGGTTATTTTTGTATCTGATGCGTGAGTATGATGGCATGGCCTTCAAGGTCATTATAGTGCTTTTATTCAAAATGTGATTTTAAATGCAACCAAATGGAAGGTATTAGGTTGTTCTTGTAATTTGTGATTGGAGTCAGGAATTTGTTTTAAAATATGAGGTGTTTTGTGTAGAAATGAAAGTAAAGAAACATATCCCTCAAACA